ATACAGTGACCGTAAGTTTTGGCCTCTGACCTTGTTGGCAAAAGTTAGAAAGACCGACATGGACAATTGAGTTCAGCTTGGTCTGAGTTCAGAAGGTCTGCATTAGCTCCCCAGGGCTGCCACTGCACAGTTCCACCACCAAGGAGATGGCTCAAAATAGCAGAAATCCATTGTCTCACATTTCTGGAAGCTAAATGTCCAAGGTCAAGGTGTTGGCGGATTCACGCTTCCCCCTTCTGCTCTTGTTGGTGTTCCATGACCTATAGACACGACATTCCTGCACCCGCACAGGTGGCGGGTGCCTGTGGCCTTGGCTTCCGCCACGTTCATACACCCCCCTTTTTACAATAACGCCAGTCGCACTGAATGAGGGCGCAGCCAGATGGCCTGATTTTAACTTGATTAATCTGTAAAGACCCTACTTCCAAGCAAGGTCGCCTTCTAAGGTACTGGTGGTTCTTCAACACATCTTTTTTGGAGGGACACAATTCAACCCATGACCATAACTCAAAGTTCTTTGGGGAAGGGAACAAATCGTCAAGGCGAGACAAGAAGGGCTTCCCAGAGGGCCTGGCTGTGGAAAGTGGCAGCTCTCCTGGACGAGTGGGCAGGAGGGAGGAGGGACCCTGGTCCTCCCGCAGGAGGAGGTGCTGTGCTTGTGGAAGAGACTGGAGCTCTAGGAGCCTGGAGCTCGGAGCTCATGGTGATGAGGGAGGAGGTGAGGCTGGGAGGAACCGGCGGGGCAACACTCCTAGGGCCTTTTGTGCCTCATGCTGAAAAATCAGGGCCACATCCTACCACACAGAAGATGAGGAGCCAGAGAGAGTTTTCCACAAAAGTCACCTTCCAAATGTGTCCTCAGTCTCAAAGTGACACCTTTAAAAATAGAATTTGTGAGACTTTTTGGAACTTGGGCTCTAATTTATTAACATTTTAAATTCAATCATCTTAAGAAGAGGAACATTTTGGGGTTTTTTTGGGGGGGGAGCAGGAAGAGTAGGAGAGTGAGTGAAAGTATGTCCAAGGCCAGGGCCTCGGGTGGGGCTCCTGGGAAGCAGACCTGGGTGGAGGTTTGCCTGCAGGGCGTGAGTTGAGGCTCAGCTAGGGCTTCCCCTGGGCAGGTTAGCCACGGTGTGGCCATGCCTGGGGGAGCTCCGGAGCTGGGACGCCCCGGACGGGCATGAAAGGATGGCCTGTGTGCGCCTGAAGTGACCAGTCCCTGGACTAAGGTTGGCCCCAGGAAAGCCTGTGACTTCAGGCAATTCTGATTGGAAGGCGGCGAGGACTCTTGTCATCTCTTGTCATGTTTTAAAAACCCCAGGCACTAGTATGAAATATGTTTAATAAGCTCAAGCAAGAAACCTAAAACGATTGTGCACCCAAAGGCACGGTCAATGGACTTGCTCTGCAGTCCTCTCCCTCCCTGGAGGCTCCAGGCTACAGACCTCTGCGCCTGGATGGTCTCTCCAGAAAAGCCCGCCCCCGCCCTGAGACTATCGAGGGCCACTAGAGTCATCTCCTTAGCATACTGCGGCCCAAGGGGTCCACCTGAAAAGACAGAGGCACACCCACCACTTTGGAAATTCCAAGGGTTCAGAGGTGCCCCCTGAGAAGCAGGACCAAGCCCTGCCCAATTCTTCATTCTAAACTGGCATGCCGCCAGTCAGCAGCAGGCGCAGGTGGGTGGAGGAACCATTTGGGAAAGCTCCCTTCCTTGCACCTTGCTCCCCACCAGCTTCAGGTAACCCCTTCATGGAGAATGCTGCTCTGGTCAGTATCCCTCCAGCGCTAGGAAACCTCCAAACAGTGCATTTCATGCTCAGGAAACCCCAAGTTCCTCCTTACCTGAAGAGGAAGTCTGTCTTCCTATGAAAACCTCTCGGATGAAAAGTCTCTTGATGAATTTCCACCCCTATGACCTAGAACTCACCTCACCGCCCCCGCCCCCGCCCCCAATAGAAATTGGCTGCTTCTTAGAAGGAAAACTGGACAACTTTTTGCACAAGCTGCCCTGGCCACTGAACACACGCGGGGGCAGTCCCGCCTCTGACACTGAGCAGAAGAGCCACGGGCCTGGTCTGGCCTGAGGACACTCTTGTTCGTCCATATGATATGGTCCGTTTACCTCGCATATGCCTGGGGAACCCGCTCACCTGAGCCTCTCTTTTTATTTAGAAATTATTTCAAGCTTAATTTTTTAAAAAGTGGAAACAGTACCGTCACCATCTCACGTCCACCCGGATTCTCCACTTGTTCCAGCGTGTCATTTGCCATATTTAGTGGCTGTATCTCCCCCTAAACACACACACGATATGTCCTTTATCATTATTCTTTTTTTTGATTGTTTGAAAGCAAGTGGCAGAATCCCACTTCATCACCCAAAATACTCCAGTGTTTATTTTCCCCCACGACGACGCTCTCCTACGGGGCCGCGCGCAGCCCTCTAAATCAGGCAGTCCCTGCCTCTGTAACTCCCCATCCAAGCCACGGGCTCCAGTCAGACTTCACCAACTGTTCCCGGCGCGTCGGCTCTGCGCCCCTGGTCCCTCGCTGTCATCCCGCTCTGGTCTCCTCCCATCTGGATGAGTTCCTCAGTCTGAACGCGCACACGCGACTCACACTCACCCAGGCGCCTGACCAGGCCCGGACGCGAGGGAAGCTGACACAGCCGGGGTGAAGTGGCGAGCAGGCCGGACGAGCTGCTGGTGCTGTTTGAACCGGTGGACTGAGTCATGGGCCGGCGAGCCTGTCCCAGCAATTTTGCCACCACACTGACCGTGAGGTGCCATGAGAGATAAAATTCGTCAGATCCTGACTAATGATTATCTCACCATTGCCTGGAGGGGAACCGCTGAGAGCCCACTTGCACAGTGCAGCGTAAGCCATGGGCGCGTGCCTGGGCGAAGCCCAACCCAGGACAAGCCACGGGGCTGCTCTCCTCCGCCCGGCCTCCTAGACTTACCCCTTAACTATGTCCCCCTCACTCCCTTCGGGAAGCCAGGTGATAGTCTCTCCCCAAACTGGCTCCCTCAAGCATGAGTCTTGACTAAAGCCTTGCCTGGTCCAGATATGCCCCATGCTCTCTGGTGAATTCTTTCCCTGGAAGGCAAAGGGCCCACTCTTTTGGGGTTGAGGCCCGGTAACAGAAGGATGCTGTGATGTTCTTGGTACATCAAGGTGGGAGGTGTGCTCTGCTTACTTCTTCTACTACTAGATATGTTAGCCTTGATGACCAGGTCATCTGCTGTGTTTTGATTAGTGCCCAAGGGGAGATACACACACAAGGCTAATACTGAGTGAAATCAAGGGGTGCCCAGGGACCCAAACTGTTAAAGGGGGGATTCCATACTGCCTGTTCTAAGGTTCCATGCCACCCGTACACATAAAGGCAAAGAAAGCAGATTATTGGCTTTCTCAAATATTTTTAATTGCGGAGAATTTCAAAGGGGAGAGAGAGAAGAGAAAGGATTTCAAATAATAGACTCCTGCCTCACGCCATACAAAAAAAAAAAATTAACTCCAGATGAATCACCAATCTAAATGCAAAATTTAAAACTATCAAACTTAAGAAAGAAAACCAGAGAATATCTTCATGACTTGGAGGCAGGTAAAGATTTCTTAGTCAGGCTGCAGAAAGCACTATTCATGAGAGAAATTTTGATAAACTAGACTTTATCAAAAGACACTAATCATAGGCCTATGGTACAGACCCAGAGAAAACACAAAATGTACATGTCGTACTTTTATCTAAAATGCATGAAATTCTCCTCAAACTCAGGAATAAATACACACACAAGGACAAAGGATTCCAGCATATACGTCACAAAGAAAGATGTATACGTACCCAGTAACATGAAAACATGCTCAATATTAATAGTATTGGGGAAATGCAAATTAAAAACCCAATGAGTTACTATATCCTCTCTAAAATGGCTAACTTTAAGAAGATTTATAACACCAAATGCTGATGAAGACGTGGCCTCATGGATGTCTCCGATATCACAGTAGAGATAAAATGGAATAACTATGAAAGTTTCTTACAAAGTCAAACATACACCTTTGAGCCTGTAATTCCACTCCAACATATTTACCCAAAGAAAATGACAGCATTTACATACTGTACATAACATATAGACAAAGGAACAAGTTACTGATTGGCCAGTGTCTTTGGGCTTTTTTCTTTGTGCTAAGGTCCTCTCAGCTCCGTGAGGAGCTGGCATGAGTGGGAGCACACAAGCAACCTGAGCAACCCAGATGCTCTGCCATGTCAGAGGGAGGCCGGCCTCCAGAGGGGCGTCCAGGCAGCGCCCAGTCAACCACCTCTTAATCTAGTTCTGGCTCTGGAGCAGGAAGCCACGCATCAGGTGGTGGAGCCAGTCAACTTCTGGTCCACCAGGAAGCAGGAGGGCACCTAATTTCCCATCTGTTTCCTGTGGGCATGCTTCTTGCACAGGGAATGTGCCACTTAGTCCCTGAGTGTGAGTCCCATGCAGCCCCCATCTCGTGAAGCAACCTGGCCTAGAAGTTCCAGAGTCCACTGGTCCAGGGCACAAAACCCCAGCTTAACACCACGAGCTGTGTGACCTCCACCAGTGCCCCATCAGCAAAATAGGGGTGGAACGGTAGTGCTGGATACAGAGAGCCTAGCAGGGCCAACTGCAGCCCCTCACAATGCTGGTGGAATGGGGGACCGTGCAAAGGGCGCCTTTTCCACAGCACAAGTCGGTGCTGATCCGTTGGTTTGGTTGGGAGGAAACACAGGAGCATAAGACACGTGTCCTCTGCCTGGCTGCGTGTCCGCCGGCGTCTGCTCTCCTCCAGCACACTTGCCCGCGCTCATTCATCATCCAGGCCCGCCGTGCACCAGGCCTTGCTCTGGGGGAGTCAGAGATGCATCAGACATAGAGAGACTCCCACCTGGAGGCTCCCACTCCGGGGGCTGTGTGAGAACTGCGGGAGCCAGGCAGCAGGCACCCCTGACTCCCGCCCTTCTCCTCCAGGAGGTCATCGCCTCCATCCTGCTGAGCGGGCGGATCGGGCCCAACATCCAGCTGGCCGAGTGCTACGGGCTGAGGCTGAAGCACATGAAGTCGGACGAGACCCACTGGCTGCACCCGCAGATGACGGTGGGAGAGGTGCAGGACAAGTACGAGTGCCTCCACGTGGAAGCAGAGTGGAGGTAGGCGAGGGGCCCTGGGGTCTCAGATTGGGGGAACTGGTGCGGAGCAGGGAGGCCCTGGGAGGTCCTTCCTTGGAGCACTTCCCAACCCAGATCATCTTCTAGAAAAGCTGAGCGGCACGTTAGGCTTCACCCTCCTGCGACATCCAGGGTGTGTCATTTCCCAGGCTTACTGTGGGCTCAGCACACCCCGGACAGCTATGTAGGAGCACCCCCAAGTGGGATGTTGTTGGTTTTGGAGAAGGAGGCACAGAAGTACAGGAGGACAGAGAGCCAAGCCCGGGCTGGCCTGGGAATCTGCAGGGAATATTTCCCACCGGGAGTAGGGATGGGTAGTCAGGGCCAGCGCTGACCACTGCCTGTCGGACGCCCCTCTGCTCTCCGTGGTCCTGAGTGGGTGGCCAGGAGCCCCGGGGGCAGCCCCTTGCACAACCAGCTCCCCCAGATCAACCAGAGTGTCTGGATTTCCTGCCCCAGGTATGACCTTCAGATCCGCTACTTGCCAGAGGACTTCCTGGAGAGCCTGAAGGAAGACCGGACCACACTGCTCTATTTTTACCAACAGGTAAAGGGTTTGCCCTGCCCAGTCCAGAGCTCTCCTAGGAGAGCTGGGCCCACCTGGCCTCCGGCCCAGCTCTGCCACTTACTCGCCCGGTACCCCGGGCCTGGGTGGGCTGCAGGAAGCTGTTTCGGCTCCTCTCAGTGGGGACAGTGATGATGATGCCCACTTTATAGGGCAGCGTGAGGACCAATTGGTGTCTTTGCCATGTGCTGCTACCAGCTCACTGAGGAAGAAATCCTGACTTGTAGCGCTCACCACTTCCCGCGGTGTGAATATTCCCACCGTGGCCTATTTCAAACTACCAATATGACGTTAAATCGTCACAATTTCAGAAACCTTCATATACGGCTTTTGTGAGCTGCGCTGAGTGTCTCCCGGGGTGAAACGGCCGAGTCCCGGCCCGAGACCGAGCAAACGCCCAGCTCATGCCCACAGCCATCACTGGCTCAGTCCCCCTCTCGCCCCCTCTGGGTTTGCTGGAGACCAAGTCCGACTTTCCTTGGATGGTGGATGACCTCTGTCACAGTGCACCAGCAGGCTTTGGAGAAGTTGCTGACTCCTGCCCAAACCTCAGTTTCCTTTTCTTCAAGATGAGGAGTGACCAGGGGACTCTGCGCGATCCCTCGTGGAGCAGGGAGAGCATGTGGGCCCCTGGGGCAGGTCCCAGCTGTCCAGGGTTCTAGCAGAGGCGGAGCCCAGGCTAACCTGCCCCTTCTGCTCTTTATCTCCTGCTGCGTGTTTGTTCATAGCGGGGCGTGTGTGTGCCAGCCGGGGTGGCAGGATGGTGTTGGAGGCACCCACTATCTCTGGGGCCTCCGCTCAGGAAAACAGGAAGCGAGGGTGCAAGGGTGACCCTTGGCCTGTCTCCCTACCAGCTCCGGAGTGACTACATGCAACGCTACGCCAGCAAGGTCAGCGAGGGCATGGCGCTGCAGCTGGGCTGCCTGGAGCTCAGGTACAGGCTGCGACCGCCACAGGGAGGGGCTGCCCCTCTTCCCACTCCCACCCCACCCCTGTGCTGGACTCTGGGCCTTGTGGACTTTCTCCAGGGTGGGAAGCAAGAGTGGGGTTGTGAAGGGGACAAGTGGTGGCCAACAGAGGGCCAGGCCCCCCAGTGCCAGCTCCATCCCTGGCTGGTGTCCCACCTGCCTTTGCTGCCACTGCCCTTGCTGCCAGGCTGCCTGCTTCTCTCTGCCACTGGAGAGAGAATCATCGAATGATTCTCCAGTGCTTCTCTGAGAAGCAGGCGAGCTACTGCAGGTACTGGAAGGAGGGGGTTTACATCTGTGCAGGTGACTCCCCGCTTGTGGTAGGTGCTCATGAACACTATGGAATCAGTGAGCCCACACACAGGTTTGAGAGGTGACAGGTGTGTCTGCAACTGATCATGGTACAGGCACACGGACATACATGGAAGAAACTGAGGCCATCAGGGGGAAGGGATGGAGCTGCTCCGGGAAGGGGAGCAAGCTCCATTGGTCGACCGTGCGGCTGGGGCGAGGGTGTACTTTGCAGGCTCAGGGACCCGTGGACGGCAAAGAACAGGGTGGAGAATAATGGGAGATGAGCTTGGGAGGAAAGTCAGAACTGGCTTGGGGACTGTGGCTGAGAGGCTAAGACATTTAGCCTTGTTCTTGACCGCCCGGGGCCATTGCCATTTGGGCAGAGGAGGCTGTGGTTAAACTGGTGTTCTAGCACTTTCTTGACCGAGGCAGCACCATTCAGTTTCGCCATGGAGCGCCATCCAGCCGTGCATCCGCCCTCCCACCTCTGTCGTAGATGCTGCTTCCAAAGTCTGGTTGTGGGTCGTGATCGCCAGGAGCTTCTTAAACTGGAGATTCCCTGCCCCACCCAACCTCCCCTGGAAGACAGGCTAGAGATCTGGGTGAGACTCAGGACATGCATTTCTGACCAACCCCCAGAAGACACGCATGCAGTTATCCTCCTGAGAGCTGACGGAAGGCGGCCAGGGAGCCGGGGAGCCTGGGGCTAGAGGCTTCTCCTCGTCCCGACCCTCCCGGCGGCCTTCCGGGCGTAGAGAAGCTGGTCCTGCTTCTGCAGAGTGGGCCATGAGGAATTCCGGGTCCCATCCTGGGCATCAGAGAGCGCGCCGACGGGTGCCCCAGGAGGGGGGCGGGAAGGGAAGGGTCCCGCCTTGACTTCAGCCTCTGACACCATTGGTGTTCGTGACAGAAGATGAGGTCAAGGCACCTGGGCCTCCTCCTGTCCTCCATGTGGTCCCCAGGTCTCAGCAAGCGCGGGAACTCGGGGCCCTGGGAGTGGCTTGCACCCTGGCTGCAGCTGGAGGACAGACCCCCTCGCTGCAGGAGGCCCTGGGAGCTCTGCTGCCGGGGTTTGCTTCATGCAGTCGCGGGTCACCTCACGTTGTGAGGGGGGCTTTCGTCTTGCATCAGACGTCACCGTGAGGCATGAGGCTGCTGCGACGTCAAGTGCAGCTTTATGATGGCTATGACATCACCAGGCAATCAGGGTTGGGGTCCCCCGTCCTAGACATGTGGCCCATCATTGGCAGTGGGCCCTGCTGCCCGTGCCCTTCCTGCCGCCTGGGCCACGCGGCTCCAGCGACCTGACTCGACGCGACCTGCGTCAGGGCCCACACGGTCTCCGCTTCCCTCTGCAATGAAACAAGTGGAAGTGTGTGCCTGGACCCCCCACCCAGGGGCGGACTCCAGAGCCACGTGACACCCCCATCATTCAAGCCTCCTGTCAATGCAGCGTCACTTAGCAGCTCTTGCTGGCTGACCTTTGGGGTACAGGTTACATGGGATGAGGGAGAGCGTGTGGAGAGCACCTGTTCTGTCAGCTTAATAAAAGATTGTCAGGTCTATAATTTTTAGCATTGAATACAACGCTCTGCGCTGTCGTGGGCAACCCTAAAGTCGTGTTCCGGCCCGTGCTCCCCAAGAGAGACGGATGCAGCTCTGAAAAGCAGGCCACAGGGCAGAGTTTCCCAGGGCTGGGGTTATTTTTTTCCTGAAAGGTTCCAAAGTTCAGTCTACGGCCAGATCCTGGGCAAAGGTCCCCTGTCCTGTTAGTAATGCGTGGATGTGTCACCTGCCTGCAGACATATGGTTTCAGCAAAACACACATATTCTTGCCTGGCTTACAAAAGAAGTAGAGTGCATGCACGGAGCCTGGATGAGCAAGATGAACCCTCAGGGCACTTCATTCAATCAAGGAACAGTCAGGAAGCCCGAAGCGCTGAAGCCGGCTGCCTGGCCGTGCCCGTGCTGGGCCTGTCACCGACCTCTGGACCTCGGTCCCCGCATCCGTGGAGTAGGAAGGACTGTCCGATGGCAGCCTCGCAGGGGGGTGTGAGGAGTTCATTCGTTAATGCACTTAAAGTCCTTAGAACAGTGACAGGGCCAGAGGTGTCCAATCATGAATCATAATTTGTATTAAAATGTTTCTCTTCATCCTTATCATTATTGTAATTTATTGTTAGTAGATTACGTTCTGGAGCCATTTCATATTTATAGCAAAATGGAGAGGAAGGAGCAGAGATTCCCATATGCCCCCTGCCCTTGAAACCAGCACAGACCCCCCCCACCCCAGACAGCATGCTGGGCCTGCACGGGCACGTCGTTATCACCGGTTACATTGGGGTTACCCTTGGTGGCGCCCCTCCTACAGGTTTCAACAAATGTCTAGAGACTTTGACCCACCATTGTAGTCTCCTGCCGGATAGTTTAACGGTCCTAAAAATCCTCTGTGCTCTGCCTGCTCAGCCTTCCCTGCTGCAGGCCCGGACAACCTCTGTTTTTACTGGCTTCATGATTTTGCCCTTGCCCTAATGTCACATGATTGCAGTCACAGCTAATAAGTTACTATGGGTTTATTGGAGGTGCTTTATAAAGTCAAGTATATTCTGTATCTGCATATGCCCCCAGTGTTTAAACGTGAAATCCATTCCCCATATGCCGGAAATTAGCACCTGCCCAGTTTGAGGAGCCAAACTTCCTCTCCTCACCTGACATGCAGGACCGTTGCCCACCCCCAGCAGAGCCCCGCATGCTCCTCCCTGACTCAGAGTGAATGTGTAAGCCTGGGTCAGTTTGGTGGTAACTGGTAACGAGTAAGGGTTAAAGGAAGAGCATTCTGCTCGCTCCTAAAGGCATTTTATCTCCTAGTTACTTTGTTAGTGTTGGCCATGAGTTAATATTTCTGTGGTTTGTTAAGAGACAAACACAACCAACTGGATTTTGCGCAGATGTCTACTTTCTGCTGCCCTTTCCTGGGTACCAGCCTCAGGCCTGTGCCTGCCCAGGGACACTGCTGCCACCTGGTGTTAGCAGGGCATGGTGGCAGTGGGCTGGGCAGAGGCAGTCAGGCACTGGAGGGCGCTGCCAGCAGGTGCCAACCTTGGGGCAGGGTGCAGATGTTTGGTGCTCTTGGGGAGTGGCTGAGATGGGGATCAGGTCAGAAGATCAGGGACACCCTCTCCCCTGCCCCAGGCATCCCAGTGGTGTTCAGCTGCTCCAGATGGTGGAGATACACACTGGAGTGGCTGGGCACGTGTGTCAAAGTTGCACAACAGCTCATTTCTAGAGCAACTAGGGAGGTAGTTTATAAGACATTGATTTCAAGACATCGGGGTGCTAGCTGAGCTTCCTTTTTCTGCTGAGACATTTCCCCATTCCTCACCTTCTGCCACGTCCTGAAATTGCTATTATCTTTCATTATTTTGATTTCTTGCTGTTTATTTCAAAATGTGTTGACCCTTCCAGTTAGCGAACTGTTTTTTTGTTACTAGGTTTAGTCAGATATGCCAGTCCCCAGAATTCTTTCATCCATGCCCCGTCTGAAAACTCATTCATTCGTTCATTCATTCATTAACTATCAGGAGTGACGTGAGAGACCTCTGCCATCTGGGCTGGGAAGCAGACCCTACTCCTCTGAGGGTGATGCATCCCCTCAGTTTGGCATACTCTCCTGGTTGCCTTCTTCGGCCTGGCACACTATTCTGGAAGCTTTAGGAAATCGGCCGACAGTGTTACCTGCGTGCCGCATACATTCATAGAAAACCACTGCGCTTGCCAATCAAGCATCCAGATAAGCGCTCCTGAGGCCACGGCTCTTCCTGGGAGCCAGGACCAGGGTCTGTCCCTCCCCGAGCCCTCCTCTCCTCGTGCCCACCCCCTGCCCTGCCCTGCCTGGACCTCCCCAGGGCCACGTTGCTGCAGGCCCTAAGAGGCTGGCCCGCCAGGGGGATAAATCCTCCACATCCTCCAAGTCAGATCGGTGCTACCTTCACTTGGCACAAGATGAGAGAGAACACAGTGTCATTTCGTTGTAATATTGATAGGAAAAAACAATTCCAGGGACATTGAACAAATTGATGTTCATTATTGGAGAATCTGGATTGGTTCATTATATTAACATGGTGCTTCACTGGATGTTGCAATTTCAAAAAAAAAACTATCCATGACATTAAGTCGGGACTTACTGTTCTGCTGTTCGTACATATTTAACTGTGAAAGATCTAAAACCCTCTCCCCTGGCAGAAATTAGACTTAAGTATAGCGCACAGCAAGTCAGTTTGGTCAGCTCCTGGAAGCACACTTCCCAGCTCGTTCGACCCAGCGGGAGCAGCGGCACACGCTGCCTGTAAGGAGCTCTCAACGGGCTGGCCTGGAGGTTCGCCGTGCAGGTGGAGGGTGTGCAGGTAAAGGAAAGTTTTCTGGCTCAGCAAGCCCTGAGTTGCCGCACTGAGCATGCAGAAGTCACGTGGGCTCCTCCACGCGGATCCCCAGTGACACAGGAGGAGCGTGAGCTTCCATGGGGAAGCCAGATCTGCATCCCCCGTCCTGTAGCTGACTGCGGCCCCTGCCTCCCGCTGTCTGGTTTCCAAAGGGCAACCTGCTCTCAACCAGCTAGAATATTCCTTCTCAGGCAGCCTTTGTGCCTCTGTGGGGCATCTGGTGGGAGTGGGATTAGGGACGAGCTCAGACCCTGATTCCCTCGTGTCTTTGCTTGCCTCTGACTTCCTGGGCTCCCCAAGCTCAGCAATAGGGACCTTTGGTGCTGATGCGTCTTTGTTGTGGGGCTGTCCTGGCATGTAGGCTCATTGGCAGCGTCCTGGCCTCTCCCCACTAGAAGCTGCTGGGTCCATCTTCCTCCCAACCAGGTGTGACAGTCAGGTATTCCAGACTGGGGGCGTGTGTGCAAAATTGCCTCTGGCTGAGAACCACTGAGTTGGGCCAATGGAGGTCACATGTCAGGCCTCTGAGTATCAGGCCCCCAGATTGTCGCGTTTGCTCTCTGCCTGGTATTGAAACTTATACCCTTGGTGTTTATTGACAATGCGAGAGGAGGAAAAAGAACATGAAATCGGCTCCTTATTTTTCAGTAAAATGCATCTTGAGAGTATTGGCTTCCTTTCAATGTGAGACTTTATAAACTTTTATTGAGTAGAATCCACCTTCTATGGTAAACGTTTCATTTGATGAATTAAGCGCTTAGCGAGGTCTTCTATCCATACTCTGGCTGCCAGGACAACCAACCCCAGACCACAGGCTTGCCATGTTCTTTCTCATTTATCTCGTTGCCTGATTTCTTTCTAACCCAATTTTCTTGAAGTACATTTTAAAACTTTGTATCCTTGCATCATTTGTTGGAAAGAGGCTAGAAATTCATTTCAATATGGAAACAGTCTAATTCAACAATTCTTTCTGGGCCACTATTAACTATTGTCACTCCTTAATACTCATTTAATGTATGCACTCATTCTTGCTTCTATAAGAGGGATTTTATACGAGACGTTTTCTCTTTTGCTTTCCCTCCACTGCTCTTTGAAACAAGGCATCCCAGAGAGAACGATTTTTCTCTTGGTTTGGTGTGGTGTTCCTGTTCACACGCGCGCCTTCACTGCATCTACCATAAGTGTTGGGACTGAAGCATGAGGTGCGGGCATGGCCCCACTCTTCAAAACACAGTGAATTATCTCAGTTCATTGCTTTGGAACCACAAGTTATTTGCCTCTCTCTCCTTATGATATCAGGAGCACAAAATTGATACAATATCAGTTGATCCTGGACAAGTTCCCAGACATGTATCAGGACACCAGAGTTAAAGAAACACTGGGTGACTCTAATTTAAGCTCAAGAGTGAGACAATGTCTACAGCCGTTGAAGAAATTACAAATTACTAAGCAGGCGGGAAGCAGGAGGGCACACGGGGACACTGACTATTTAGTCTCTACTCAGATAGCAATGGCTATAAATAAATAATGCATAAAAATCTCCATCAAAACACACATTTGAAGGGAGAGATTTCAAGAATATATACATTTATGTAAAAATGAATAGGTGTCCCCTGCTGGTGGGATTATGAATTATTTTTATTTTCTCTTTCTGGTCCATAAATTCTCAAGTATTCCAGTCTCCTGCATCCCCTCATCGTTTCAGGGGCCAGAGCCCCACGCGGGCGCTATCCCGAGGTGGGGAGGGCGGGGCGTGGGACCACAAAGGGAATCCGGAGCCTGAAGGTGGCGTGGGGCCCTGGGCCGGGTGTCGGCCTTCAGTGTCGTTTGTGTTTGAGAACATTCGTTCCCGTGAACACAGACAGCACCCCCACCTTCCTCCTCTGCCCGACAACGGGGCAGCCCACAGCTGGGCACCCAGAACCCACAACTTGGGTCTTCTAGGAATTAAATTGGTGGTTTTCCCTTTACACCATTGTAAACACCCGATTCTAAATACCCAATTTCTTGCTCTCCTCACTTCCCTTCCTGGTGGGTCCCACATCTGGGGTCATGGGAGGGGCCTTCTAGGCAACGTGTGGGTTTGGGCGGCCGGCTCTGATGAGCTGGCGCTGCAGCCACCAGCCTCTCTGTGACCTCTCTCTCTCCAGACGCTTCTTCAAGGACATGCCCTACAATGCCCTCGACAAGAAGTCCAACTTCGAGTACCTGGAGTAAGTCCTGGCACCGCCCTTCCCCCCAGCCTCCCCAGTTCCCGGCCCTGCTTCCCCGCCTCACCCGCCTCCACTCCTCCCTGACCCCAGCCCAGCAGGGCCAGCTCCCGCCCTCCTGCCCTCTCCCGCGACTGACCAGAGTCCTGGGCTGGGATGACCGGAGTCAGAGGTGCTTTTGCTCCCCTTCTTTCAGGAAGGACGTGGGTCTGGACGTGTTCTTCCCAAAGCAGATGCAGGAGAACTTGAAGGTAGAGACCCCAGTGGGTGAGGGCCCAGCTTGAAGCCCGCACGTGCTGGCCCCAGTGCTGGAGCTAGCAGGACAGGGCTGGGGCTACTCAGGCAGGCAGGTGTCTGTGCTGGGACCCCCGGCCTGGGCCCTTGAGAAGCACCCTTTCTGGAGCTGGGTGCCCGGAAGCCTGGCTCTAGTTGCCACATCCGAAGCCAGTTAGCTTTGCGTCCTGAGCTCTGCGCGTGCCACCTCCCCTGCCCGCCTCCCCTGCCAGGCAAGCCTCCCTGAAATGGCAGGTGTGCCCTTTAGGTGACCTGGCAGGTGGCTCTGCCCAGGGCAGAGACCAAGGGACGGTCTCCCAACGGCTGCGGGCTTCCCAAGAAGCCCCCGGAAGGGATCCGAGCGGTGGGGGTTGGGGGTAGTCTCTGCTGAGCGCTGCCATGTGCCCCTCCAGCCCAAGCAGTTCCGCAAGATGATCCAGCAGACCTTCCAGCAGTACGCCTCGCTGCGGGAGGAGGAGTGCGTCATGAAGTTCTTCAACACCCTGGCGGGCTTCGCCAAGATCGACCAGGAGACCTACCGCTGTGAACTCATTGTAATGCCATGCCCTTGACCTGCCCCTCCGGGCCGTGGCGCCTCCCAGGCCACGTGGGGGAGGGCTGTGTTGGCTGGTAGGTTCTCGGGCAGTGGGCCCGAGATTGCGCCCTAAAATCAACTGCTGTCCGCCGGCACCTGCAGAAGGGGCTAAAATCTAGGCCTGCGCTGGGGGTGGGCAGGGTGTTGGCGGTAGGTGATCCGTGTGGGGGTTAGGGTAGAAGGAGCTGGAAGGCCCGAGAGACGGCGTCTGGCTTAGCGAGCTGTTGTTCTGACTTCTGAACTATGGGGCTGGCCAGGCTGGGGCAACAGCCTCCTCTCTGCTTTCAGCAAGGGTGGAACATCACCGTGGACCTGGTCATCGGCCCCAAGGGCATCCGCCAGCTGACAAGCCAGGATGCAAAGGTAGAGAGAGATGGAGTCAGCCCCCCTGCCAGTTCAGGCCATTTCCTCAGCCTCCCACCCCGCCTGCCCCATTGCTGACAGCAGGGCCTTGGCACGAGTGGCTGGAGAGGGTTTGGGGATAGCAGCTCTCGGGGCAGCTGGCACTTTCCTTCCCCATGACTAGGCCCTGTGCAGAGGTGGTGGGTGTGCAGGGCAGGAGAGAGGGGAAGAGGGTGCTGTTGCTGCTCGTCTGGCTCAGAGACAGCATTTGCTCTCCGTGGCATTGTCAGGCTTCCCCAGGAGTCCCAGGACCGGGGTCCAGGGCCCGCTCTACCACCCACTTGGCCAATGACCTTGGGCAAGTCTTGGCTCTCTCCAGACTCACCTTCTCTTCTGCCAAGTGAGAGCCTTGGATGAGATGATCCTTCCAGCCTTAATAGTCTTTGGTTTTCTCTTCCTTCCCTCAATAGACTCCCAGTTTTTCCTTTGCCCCCATAATGACCAACCCCCATGGCCTGATCATAAGAGCAGGGTGGTTTCAAGGGTCGCCTCTTTCCCCACAGCCCACGTGTCTGGCTGAGTTCAAGCAGATCAAGTCCATCATGTGCCTGGCGCTGGAGGAGGGCCAGGCCATACTGCAGCTGGGCATTGAGGGTGCCCCCCAGGTGAGTGGCCCTGACACTGGGGCCACAGCTGCAGGTTAGGAGTTTGTGCCTGACCAGCCTGATCCAGGCGAGCAGGGTGCCCTGGCTTCTGGGATCTTGTTAGGAAAACTTCCCTTGGTTCTTGGGCAGGGATAAATTATAGGGAGCATAAGTCAGGAAACAACGCTGTTTACAAAATATCAAGAAAGGGCAGATAAAGGTGACCAGAACTCAAGGAATGCACCCCAGGTGCTAGGTCTCCTTTCTCCTGTTGGGACCTGGCCCCTTCCTCATCCCTTTCCTGTTCTGTTCTTGCTTGTTGAGCACCTGCCAGGCACCCTGCACACACAGGCCTTGCTCTCAGAGACCAAAATCAGCTAGTTTAGTGTGGTCAAGGGGATGAGGTGGAGGGAAGGGGGTGGCTGGGAAAAAGCACCCCCTGGTGGCCTGGGGGGTTGCAAGCCAAGCCTCCCTGGAGAGGTTGGATGGATTCCAGGAGCCGGAGGCAGGGCCCTGCTCCTGCCACAAGGTCCTATGGGGTAGACTCCAGCCAAGGCTCTGGGGTCTCATACGTGGCTGGTCTCTTGTCTGCAGTCCTTGTCCATCAAAACCTCCTCTCTGGCAGAGGCCGAGAACATGGCTGACCTCATAGACGGGTACTGCCGGCTGCAGGGGGAGAACAAAGGCTCTCTCATCCTGCATCCCAGGAAGAGCACGGGTCTGATGAAAGGTAACCCGCCCCATGGGGAGCAGCGTGCGGGGGCTGCGCCAACCCCCAAGGGCAGAGCAGAGAAGCCGCAGACCAATGTGTGAACGAAGAGGCTCTAGAAGGGTGGGTGGGTGTCTGTCCTGGCCCCTGATGCCGCCTGTGATTCCATCCTGGGTCCTCGGCACAGGCCCTGCCCATCCCTCTGCCCCTGCCTGCTGTCAGGGGCGGCGTGGGGCCGACCTCTGGAGAGAGGCCCTTGCAGCTCCAGGGTGATCCAGCTATTGCTGGCACAGTGGTATCTGGGGTGGGGTCAGGAGTCCAGAGTCAGGGCGGGCACAAGTGCACAGTGGCCGGAGGAAGTTGAATCATTTTTACGCGAAGAGGAATCCAATTGAGGCAAAGGCCCACCCAGCTTCCACTGCCACGTCAGACAGCAGGCCAGGGCGGGTGGGCGCACGGCGGGGTCAGACGTCCACCGGGACCCAGTGTCCCGGCTCCAGCCCCCCTCTTCTCCCCTCTCCCCAGATGGTGAGAAGCGGAACAGCCTGCCCCAGATCCCTGTGCTGTGAGTACAGTGGGCCGGGCCGTTGCTCAGCCTGTATCTGCCCAGAAGGCAGAGCAAATCGGGAGCCTCCACCCCCATGGTTTCTGGCTCCCGGCTCCCAAGGGAGAGAGGCTTCTGGAAGCCCAGCGTTTCACAGTGGCTGTTTTCACCAGTAAATTCTCTGGTGAATTCTGGCCGGGATGCTGCTAAGTACCAGAGCCACCTGGCATCACCTTAGGGTGGGGGCGGCTACTGCCCCACCCCGCCTGCCCCTGCCAGCCTGGGCCTCTCTCCCGGGTCCTTGCCATCATCAGGAGCTGCTTCCCCGGGCAGAGGGAAGGAGGATGAGCATGCACCTGCCTGGGGAGCACTTGCCCAGGAGCATAGGAGGGGGTGGAGAGGCTGCCGGGGAGCGCCGCCACCCGGGGGCTGACTGGGGTCCCTTGCCGTCGCCCCTGCAGGAGTCTGGAGCCTGGCAGACCACCGCTGTCGGAAAGCTGCAGCATAGGTGAGCTGCCCCTCCGCCCGCTCCCGTGACGTCACCAGGATCCCTCAAAGTCACAGAAAGTCCACCTTCCCCCACGGCTTCCCAGTGAAGGCTTTGCACGCCACTCCCTGTGAGAGCAGCAGCTCTGAGCTGCATTTACCTTGGTCAACTCAGGCTGCCCTGGCGCAAGCTCAGGGATGGCCTCAAGCAGCAGGCGTTACCTTCTCTCCAGGAGAGCCTGCCAGCCAGGGCCCAGGTGGCCGCCTTCGCCTTCTTGTGGGTGTTAGTGGGCAGGGGTGGGGCTGCGGGGGGAGCTCTGGTTCCTTCTCTTCTCACAAGCACACGAATTCCACCCCCGGGGTGCACCCTCACGTGCTCATCTGAACCCCATCACTTCCCACAGGCCCCGCCCTCCTGGTATCCTCATGTTGGGGATCAGGGCTTCAGCACAGGAATGGGGGGGTGCAAAATATTCAGTTCATAACGATGTTAAATACGGACCAGGTATTATTTCATCCAGTCTTAGCAATGTTCCTAGAATTGTCCATTTCCAGGAAAGGGAAAGAGGTCAAGTGCAGTCAAGCCGGGCTGCCCTGGGCTCTGTGGCCACTCTGGAGGCCAGTCCTTGCCTGGCCCCCACCCCATGAGGCCAGCCTGGTGCCCCAGACTCCAAGCAGGAGCCACACACTGGTTGCTGGTGTGCCCGCTGAGGGCATCCTGCCCCCGTGTCCTGTGTCTGTCGCTGCAGAGTCGGACATCTACATGGAGATCCCCGATGAGACCCTGCGGCAGCCGGCAGGTAGGTCGCCCAGGCCAGGCCCGGAGGTGTGGTGCGGACACCCGGGTACCGCGGGGACTCTCCGCCCTTCGTCTTCGCAGACAGGGACACCCCGAGGCATCTTCCACCTGAAAGCCGAGTCATTCTCTCCCCCCACACTGTTGACTGCCCGTGTGCCTGCAGTATGGGGGGGCCTCGAACGTGGACATGGAAACCAGGCTTTGGAGGGCACAACAGTGGCTCTTCTCTGGGTCTGAGACAATGGAGCTTTCTAGAACCCCTTCCCTAGCGCAGCCCCTGGGTCTCGATGCAGGGATTGTTGGTGGGTCTGGTAACATCTGCACGGAGGGGCAGAGCCTGGCAGGCCCTGCAGGGGCGGGTGCCGGCCCTCGGGACAGCCTGCCCCTCCGTCCGTGCAGGCACCCACTACAGTGTCGCCCGGGAAGACGTGGTTCTGAACCGGATTCTTGGTGAAGGCTTTTTTGGGGAGGTTTACGAAGGCGTCTACACGAATCACGTGAGTTGCAGTCTCCTCCCTGCCCCTGCTCCTCCGCTTCTGTGTGGGGAGAGAGAGGAGGTGGATGTTCTGGGGCTGGGGTGCAGCTGCGTGGTAGGCCTGCGCCACAGGCGTTTGCAGAGTTTACGAGTAGCGGGGGGTGATGCCAAGGAGCATCGCCCCGGACGAGGCCAGCCGTCAGGGCCAGATCTAGAGGGGTGGCTGACAAGTGGGGAGACGAGAAGAGCAGGGTTCCAAGAAAATAGCAGGGTGATGTCTGAGGCCAAGGTTCATCTGGGGTGCCGGTGGGGTGGCAAGCCCTGCCTTAGTGGCTGTGATCCAGGCAGACCTGGGCCAGGGCACAGCCGGAGAGAAGGGCAGCGAAAAGGCAAAACCAACAACGAAGAGGGAGGGGCCCTGGTGATGGCTGGGCACAGCTCCACCCTGTGATTTGGGGGTCACTTGGCCCCTGGCCTTGGATTTCCCATCTGAATTATTTGCTCTCCAAGCCCTTTCCTGTCCTGACAAACGCTGACAGCCTGTCACCGTGGCCGCTGGGCTGGGGGTGCCGTGCTGCCCGGGAGGACACACTCTCTGGCCCGGCTGGTCCAGGGGCCCTGAGCTCACTCTTGTTGCAGAAAGGGGAGAAGATCAACGTGGCCGTGAAGACCTGCAAGAGGGACTGCACCCTGGACAACAAGGAGAAGTTCATGAGCGAGGCAGGTCCGTGTCCCGCAGGCCCGGGAAGCACCCCGAGACCACACGGGCCCGCCGGGCGGGAGGGGATGTGGGCAGCGCCAGGACTCACCTTGGGAGGGGTTCACGCCCGGCCCACCCCATCCCGGCCGAGCCGCCGGTGACCTTAGCACCCCCCTCGCCCCGTCAGTGATCATGAAGCACCTCGACCACCCGCACATCGTGAAGCTGCTCGGCATCATCGAGGAGGAGCCCACCTGGATCATCATGGAGCTGTACCCTCACGGGGAGGTGAGCAGAGGCCCCGTGAGGGGCTTCCAGGGTGTTCAGGGGAGCGCCTGACCCCTGTCCTCCGGGTTCGGGGGAACAACCCAGACAGCGACTGTAGGGGGGCCTGCGGGGGCATCCGGGTCCCCCACCCCCCGCCCAGGGAAGGACGGCCGCGCCGGAGCCCCCCACCCCGATGCTGAGGCCATACCTCCCCACATGGCCCCCAGCCCCCTGAGGCTGTAACCCCCAACCTAGCCCCCAGCTCCCCGCTGAGGCCATGCAGGGTCCTGACGGCTTCCCCCCTCGCCCCCCGCAGCTGGGCCACTACCTGGAGAGGAACAAGAACTCCCTGAAGGTGCTCACGCTGGTCCTGTACTCGCTGCAGATCTGCAAGGCCATGGCCTACCTGGAGAGCGTCAACTGCGTGCACAGGTGGGGCCCGCGGGCCTGACCCCGCCGGGGGGCGCAGGCGGTGGGGACCCGCGGTCGGGACAACCTGAGCCCCTCTCGGCCCCCGTGTCCTCCTCGGGCCTCGGAGTAGCGACGTGGACTCGCAGGTCCAGGCGTCTGCCCGCAGCTTGCAGAGCCTGGCCCGCCTCCCTGGGCGCCGGAAATGCTCCTGCTCGCCCGGGGCTTGCCTGCTCCCCTCGCCCGCCCGGCTGCTCCGGCTGGCCCGTCTGCAGAGGGGAACGGGCAAGCGCAGCGACTCCGTCTGTCTGTCCGTCTGCCTGTCTGTCTTCCTGCAGCGTCCCCTCACCCCTGCCCTCGCATCCTTCTTCCAGGGACATCGCCGTCCGGAACATCCTGGTGGCCTCCTCGGAGTGTGTGAAGCTGGGGGACTTCGGCCTCTCCCGCTACATTGAGGACGAGGAGTATTACAAGGGTGAGGGGGGACCCCATGGCCCCGAGGACAGCGCCCCAGGGAAGGCTCCCGTGGCCCGCGGGTCCGTGGGTCTCCGGGGAAGCGGCTGCATCGCTGCGCTTTCTCCCCTGACCACCTCCTGTGACCTCCCCGCCCCCAGCCTCCGTGACGCGTCTCCCCATCAAGTGGATGTCCCCTGAGTCCATCAACTTCCGCCGCTTCACCACGGCCAGCGACGTCTGGATGTTCGGTGCGTGGAGCTTGGGGATGGGAAGAGGGTCTGATGCTCACCTCTTCGGTGTTCGGGCTGAGAGGGGTCACGGGGAGCGGGGCTGGACCCCCACTCCTCCCAGTGCCGGGTTCAGTTCTGCTTAGGCCCCCGGGGAGGCCAGTGGAGGCCGGGCCAGGGGGGGCGCTACAGACTCAGGGCCAACCCGGCCAGTGTCGGTCAGTCTTTCTGGAAAGGCTCTTGTGACACGCAAGCACCCCACCCACCAGCCCCGGGGACTAATGTGAGGACACCCCGGAGGGCCCCTCAAAGGCAAACTCGAGCTTACTCTGAGAAGAGGCACAGGGGTGGTGGGGACAGAACGGGGCGTGGAAGGACGCCCCCCCAGAGCGCAGGCCCCCAGCCGGGCGGGGAAGGTCTCGTCCTGGCCATCACCACGGTTCTCCACAAAGGGAGACTGAGGCTCAGGCCCGCAGGGGTTGCCTGTAGTCCCGCGGCAGCAAGCATTGGCCCTGGGCTGCCACGCACCCCCGCGTCCCGACAGAGGCTCCCCTGCCTCCTGGGGCCGCCCCTCACCCCACGGACCCTGACTGCTCCAGGCAGCGGGGGCTGGGGAGACCTCAGGGCCCCGGGAAGATCTCCGTGGAGGGCAAGCCCCCAGGGGTGCGGGACGGGCAGCAGGAGGACCCCGGGGCTCCTCCCGGCAGGACCCAAGTCAAAGGCCACCGTGTTCCCTGGGGCGGGGGCTCTCGGGCCAGACCCCCCCCCCCCTGCCCCGCACACATCCTGAGCCTGCTCCCCCTGCCTCAGCCGTGTGCATGTGGGAGATCCTGAGCTTCGGGAAGCAGCCCTTCTTCTGGCTGGAGAACAAGGACGTCATCGGGGTGCTGGAGAAGGGGGACCGGCTGCCCAAGCCCGACCTCTGCCCGCCCATCCTCTACACCCTCATGACCCGCTGCTGGGACTACGACCCCAGCGAGCGGCCCCGCTTCACCGAGCTCGTGTGCAGCCTCAGGTGAGCCTGCGCGGGGCTGGGTGGGGCCTCTGGAGGGCTAGACGCCCCCGTAGCCGGGAGTGGGGGCACAGGGACCTCCCCAGAGACACCAAGACGCTCCCATTGCACGCCCCCCACCAAGGTGTGCCCGCGTCTTCTTCCAGCTGTGGATGAGAAGATTCAGGTGCAGAGCTGGGACCCCACGGCAGTGATGGGGAGGGGGGGACTTGCAGGCCCCCTCTCCTGGCAGGGTCAGAGCCTGTGCCCAAGCGGGACGAGCCTTTCTCCCGGCAGGCCCAGGTTCTCTGTCTGTTGGGCACAGCGTCGAGTCCACGTTCACAGCCAGGGATGAGTCTGGGCCCCCCACCCCGCCCCGCCTCCCTCAGGCTCAGCACAGGCCTTGCGCCTTGTGCAGCGTCTCTTAGGTTTGAGCAGAAAGACTGAGTGGCGCCCCTGGGTGCTCCTGCCTGTGCCCTGCAGAATCTGGCCGGGGGCCGCCCCCTGCTCCCTGAGGTGCCTTCGGCCTCCTGCTGCCTCTGCGCAGGCCGCTGGACAGCGGCAAAGGGAATGGCTTCAGCTGTGCAGACAAGACGCTGGGGCTGCCTCGCGTCTCTAATGGGGGGCAGGGCCTGAGGGTCTTCTTGGGGCCACCGTCCCCTGGGTATGGGCGGTTCCTGCTCAGGGTGTTCAGAAGGTCCCCTGCTTCCGCGGTCACTCCTCCCTTAGGGCAGGAATCAGCAAACCTTTCCCCAGTGGGCCAGGTAGGAAAGATGGGGGGCTCTGCAGGTCTCATGGTCTCTGTTGAAAGCACTCAGCCCTATGAGAGCAAGTGCAGCTGGTGTGAGAGAGTGAATGAAGGGGTGCAGCTGCTTCCGGTGACTTCATATGTGAACCCTGGGACTGGAATTTCATGTGCTTTCTGCATGTGTTTTGTTTTTTTTTTTTCCAATTGTTAAAAACAGAAGCTTTTTTTAGTTTGGAGCAATACAAAATAGCCGGGGTGGGGGTGGGGTGACTTGTGGACCACAGTTGACCCTGCTTTAGGGAATCGTGCTTAACCCTAAGCATTGTAATCAACATATTGGCATTTTTAGCGGGGGATAATAGCTCCTGGAAACTGCCTTGCAGGGAGATGCCACAGTTCGGGGAGGCCCGGGCAGGCAGCGCAGTGATTCTGCACTTGTTTGTAGAGGAAGGGGCTCCAGTCCCGCCTGGGAGGCTCCAGCTTAAAACACCTCTTGACACTCCCGGCTCATTCTAGATTCATCCATAAGGGAGACTTGAGAAGCCAGAGTGTTCCAGAAGAAAAGTATTTGGAAGGCATTACTTGAGAAGCTCTGTCTTGGAGGGTCTCCCCAGGTCGCTCTGCAGAGGAAGGCATCGCGGTCCTTCTGTGGGCCCCCGGAGCCCCCGTGAGTGGAGGGAGGCACTCCGGGGAGCATTGTTGACCTTGTTTCTCTCCGTCTCTGACCTGACTCCTGAGCAGTGACATTTATCAGATGGAGAAAGACATCGCCATAGAGCAGGAGAGGAATACTCGCTACCGACCCCCCAAAATCTTGGAGCCCACAGTCTACCAGGAGCCGCCACCCAAGGTAAGCCCTGTGCTGTGGGCCCGTGAACCACACCGGGGCTGGGTCCCTCCTGGCATACTCCGGCCAGACAGAGTAAACCAGCCCCCCACCCCACGGGTGGGCAGCGCCCTTTGGCCTTCTCAGCCCGCCCCAGCCATTCACCAGCCCGAGCTGCTCCCCATCACCTCAGCGCTGGCAAGAGAGCACGCACCTTTTGAGGTCTTTCGGACAGGGAATCCCCCTTGGGGATGTGTCCCTTGAAAGGCGGGAAGTTTTTGGGGGGTATTTTTTAGGGAAAAATATATACCCCTGAAAGCACATGAGCTGGGGGTGGGGGGTTGAATGGCCTCGGCCTCTGAGGCCCAGCCTCCGTGTGCATGTCCCCTGTGGCAGCTCCGGACTCAGCAGCCATATGTCAGCGGGCGTTGAGGGACAGTCAGCTTGGGTTGCCACAGTCACCCCAGAGACTGGGTGACTTAGGCCACGGGGTTCCAGAGGCTGGGGAGTCCCGCGTCAAATTATCAGCAGTCGGGGCCGGAAAAGGCCTCTTTCCAGCTTGCAGAGAAACCTCCTCCTGTGTCCTCACCAGGGTAGGAGCAAGAGCCCTGGGGTCTCTTCTTATAAGGACACTAATCCCATCCCAGGGGCTCTGCTTTCATGACCTCACCTAAACCTCATTATCTCCCAAGGGACTCACCCCCAAATACCATCTCACTGGAGGTTAGGGCTTCGACCTTGGGTGGAGGGGCCGCCACACCGTCAGGGCACAGACGCCTGGCCCAGGGCCCTTTCTCACCGCCCCCTCGCCTGGACCCAGCCCAGTTGTCATCTTTCCCATGAGCCCCCATCACCTACTTCTATGACTCGCTGCTGATCTGGCAGGTGCCCCCACATCTAGGGAAGCCACGCACAGACCGGGGACCCTCCAATTAGCAGTAGCCCCCAGGAGGGCAGTGAGGCTTCCCCTCACTCCACAGCAGCTGATGCTTGACTCGTGGATGCGAAAGATCTGAGCGATGCTTTGTCCCTCTCTCACCTCCCTTCCAAACAAGCCCCTCTCCGACCCGAGATCCCCCGGGTGAGCCGCCCTCGCCCCCGGAGAGACAGGGCGGCTCATCCCTGGCTTCTCTCTGCAGCCCAGCCGGCCCAAGTACAGGCCCCCTCCACAAACCAACCTGCTGGCGCCCAAGCTGCAGTTCCAGGTAAGCGCGCGGCCGGGTGTCACGAGGCCTCCGTCTTCCCGGAGCTCCCTTCTGACGCCTCTGGGCAGCAGGTGTCACCTGTTGGGTGTCGGACATGGCCTGGCATCAGCTCCTCCTTGGTACCAAAAAAACAAAAGAATTTGAACTCAGAGTGCTCGGTGATCACAGAACCAAAAGCAGTTCCACTAGCATCCTCAGCGAAGTCCTGCCCCAGCCCTGCCATCTGTCCAAGCATTTGCTGTTGCGTGTGCCCGCCGCCAGCTCCCGCCTGTGTGCGAGGCTCCCTGCTCCCTGGACTCCTGCCCTGAGCAGAGCCTCTGGAGAAGGAACCCCAGGACTTGGGCTCAGTTGATGGGCCCCAGACAAAACAACTGTTCCATGGGGCTCCCTCAGAGGCTCTGCCCAGGCCGGCCTGGGCAGCGAGGAGAAAGCGGGTCTCCTCCGGAGCCCCCCAGCCCTGTCCCAGATCCACTCTGTCCCGTGTCTGTGTCCTGCATCTCAGTCCCTGGGAGCCTGGCCTGAGCTCAGAACTCTGTTTGATCACAGAACATCTCGACCTACAGAAACATGCCTGTTTGCTTGGTAATTTTTACAGAAAGGTGGTGTTCCTGGCCGTCCCTGTCTCCCCAGGGAAGCGCCCTGTGTCAGAACAGCCCGGCCGGAACTAACAGATACATCTTTTTATTTTTTGATTCACCCTTTGTTTACATGATTATATAATTCCAGAAGTACAGCTTCACATGTTGACATGTGGGTGCAGGAGAGAGAAGCCATGTCCCTCAAGAGAAACATACCTTTTTATGGTGTTTAAAATAATCAGCAAATAATATTTATATGCACACACAGATCTGTGGGCTAACCACACCTGTCCGTTTGTAACTCGACGACGACATAAATCTGTGCAGGACAGCTCTTCCCTGAAGACCCTGAGGAAGAAGTGTTCTCTGTAGGGCAGTACCATGTGCCCCCCACCCCCACCATGCAGAGCATCATGTTGGGGGAATGCCTGTTCCTAAGCCCCAGGAGCAGTGCCAGCTCCTAGCCGAGTGCCATATGTGTCTCCAGCCCCACGCCTACACCACGCTCTTTGTCAGCTCCCAGAGACCAAGTGCTGTTTCTCCCGCAGTGCTCATGTATCGTTTCTTTGTGCTCGTGTTTGTAGCAGCTAATTGTCCACCTTCTGGTCTTGTCTCCGTGCCTGGTGCTTCTTTGCTTCTCCTGAATAGGTCCCCGAGGGCCTGTGTGCCAGCTCACCTACGCTCACCAGCCCTATGGAGTATCCATCTCCTGTAAATTCGCTGCACACCCCGCCTCTCCACCGGCACAATGTCTTCAAGCGCCACAGCATGCGGGTAAGAGGACTCTGCATGCTGGGTCCCCGCCTGGACCGAGGAAGCTGCTGGAGGGAGGTGACCGGGGACACCAGGAACCCCATGTCCTCAGGCTCACAAGGTGTCCTCTCTGCTTGCATGCACCAGCCAGGCCACCAAGGGGTTCCACAATGTCCTTTCCTGTGCAAACACATCAGGATGGGGCTCCAGCCAGCTCTGCTCCCCTGCTCCCAGGACTCTGGCTGGCTCTGGAGCTGCCCCTGTCCATAGTGCTGAAGGATGTGACCGCTGCGCCTTTCCTGAGCCCCAGGTGTCCTGTGGGGGCACATGGACAGAGGCAGCCAAGCCCAGAGATGCTGGGAGGTTTGGCTCCACTCTGCCATTCTTGCCTAATTGTTGCAGTTGCTAAATCTCTCCTCAGTCAAGGGAAGTGCTTCCTTGTGACTGCCGCACCTGCTGCTTCTGTACAAGTTGCTGTATGGGAGGGAGCTTGGGGGGCCATGGGGGTTAAGGTACCCTCCCCGGTCACCTCTTTGTCATCAGCTGCCCTGAGTATGTCAATGAAATAGCTTCCAGATGTGAGTCCTTGTTTTCTTTCAAGGCGTTTTTGCTTGTAACAAGATGTCCACTCATCCCCTTCAATACAAATAACCCCTGTGGTCAGTTACTACAAACACGCGATCTGTTTTACTAAACTGACTCCTGATATTATGACAAAACACACTAAAATCCTAATTATTTAGACTCTACGCATTCTGTATATTCTGTATATGTTCATGGTACTTCAGACTCAGTATACAGGACTCGAATTTGGGGGAGAGCTACATGTTTACCACAGTAGACTCAGAAAACCCGATACAGTGCATTGCTCTGGTCTGTGCATTATTCTTAATTCAGTAAGACTCTGAAATGAGTAAGATACACCCTAGGATTGTAGGAGCATGACCTATTGTGGGGGAATAAATTTTCCCCTGACCTTTCTCATTTTTCTCTTTCATATTAATTTAACCAATTTAGATCTTAGCATATACTTAACAATAATAAAACTGCACTTTTGAGCATGCACTATAATTTAGGCAGTGTTCTGCTCCTCCACCCCCCTGCCTTTGACTCTTTATTCATAATTAATTGAATTTTAGTGAGTTTTGCTTTAAATTGTGTCCTTTTTAAAAGAAGCTATTTTGCACATTTGAGGGGTGACTTTGCCTTTGTCTGAGCCCTGCTTCCCCATCAGGACTTAGTTCAGTTCCATAAAGACAGACTGCAGGAGGGAAAAAGACCTTTTGTGGCAGGGGCTTAGAAATACTTGCCAGAAGGAAAGTCTGCCTAAAAGAACATAATGAGCATTTCTTTAAATAAACCCAAAAAAAGCTGAAGACATGAACTCCATTTTGTGGTGTATATATATCAGAAGCACTGCGAAGGCCTCTTCCATGCAGAAGACTGAAAAGGTGGAATAGGCTCCCTGCAAAGTATTTGAAAGCCTTTAACAAAAATCAGAGATAGTTTTCCGACCAAAACAATTTTTCTACTGACTAATTCTTGCCTGACTCATCTGGGAGTCTGTGGGTTGCCATCCCAGAGTCAGGATGGCTTCAGTCTCCCTCTTGAAGACCTCACAATTGAGCTTTAAAATAATCATAAAATTTGCTCAGTAACCGCGAGGCTGGCTGGGCGCTGTCCTCAATGCTGAAAAGAGAACCGGTTAGTTCTGCCTTCAGGGAGCTTACCGTCTGCCAGAAGGAACAGGCCAGGTGCACATTTACCTGTAACGCAAGCCAGGAGGGGTGAATGGCAGAGACAGATGCAGCAAAGGTGCAGTGGATTTCAGAGGGGTAACAACTCTAAATTCCAGCTTTTTTTTTTTTTATTCAGCTGGGCCTCGGAGGATGGGAAAGGTTTGGACAGGAAGAAACTCAGATGCAGGGGGTGGGAGAGGTAGAGGCAAGTTAGAGCCAAGATTGAGTGATGGGAAGCGAGAGGGCAGGTGTGGGGGCTGTTTGACTGGAACGAGGAAGGTGCGTGTGGAACAAGGAAACAGGCTGGCAGGATGGGGGTGGCCAAATGACAGAAGGTGACACAGCTTGTGAGAGTCATTTTAAAACACCACGAGGACCTGATTCCTTTTAAGAGTGTCTAGCAGTTGCCTGCTAAGAATCACTGAGATACATTTCAGACAAGTAAACCCTGTAAGAGGCTTACTCCAAGTAAATTTTTTAATCTCATTTTGTCCTTGAGTTTTACTATTAAATTGGAAGGCACGGGAACAAATCTGCCCATTTGTGTTAAGACACTGGGCCTGAGGGTGACCAGGCCTAGGGCATCTGAGGCACCTGAGTAGTCAGGGCCTTCTTTAAGCACGTACAACATGGCAGTATTTCCTTGGTCCCAGTAACTCCTGTGACATATTCACTCTTCAGTCCATACATTTTTCTGAGACATGGCAAGTCCTAGCTCTTTATTCAGAATTTTTGATGCCCATTGGTCAGTCGCCTCAAGTGGCCATGCCACTGTTTATAGGTGGTGACATTCAACTGGGGCTGTTTCTAGTGTTAAAATGCCTCCATTTTGGAGTACGAACCTCCAAACACATAAATAAAACAAAAATATATTTTATTCTATTTTTTTAAAGATTTATTTATTTATGCATAAAAGAGCTGGGTACAAGCCAGAGATGCAGGGGGTGAGAGGATTCACCAGAGACAGAGCGGTGAGCAGAACAGGCAGACTGACTGAAATACACAGAAAAGGGGAGCAGCAGGCAAGACAGACAAGGTCTGCCTCGCCATGTGGGTAGCTCCCTGGCCAGCCATGGATCGAACTCGTGCTGCAGAGGCTGCAGATTGCTTCACGGTGTGGTGCTTAAGCCCTTGTGCCACCAGGGAGGCCCCTATCTTATTCTATTTTTATGAAGCTTATAATTATAAAATACTCTTACGCTTGGATTTTTTTTTTCTTAAAATAAGGTATAGCTGAGCACCTCTCAAATGAGGTGATTTTGAGGGGACATTGGGTGATGACTAGAGGCATTTTTGCTATGACAGGGGAGGTGTGAAAGTATCTGGGCATCTAGAATGGAAGCCGCGGCTGCTGCTAAGCATTGTACAATGGATAGGAAATCTCCCCCAATAAAGAATCATCAGGCCCTAAATATCAATAGCACCAAGGCTGAGGACCCCCAGCTTGCTCTTGTTCCCTTAGCTCACAGGGAACTGCCTGTTCTACCACTCCTGGTCTCCTGGCCCTGTGTTGCCACATAGTAGTTGCTTAATAAAAGTGGTTGAGTAGATGGTTGAGCAGAGAATCTTTCAGCAAGAAGTCTAACTCATGAGGGGGAAGCTTGTGAGAAACTGAGAGCAGCAATTGAAGCTTAATGAGCACTGAAAAACACCCCAGTGTAACTATTTTAAACTACATAAGCTGCATGGCTATATTCAAGTGTGTTTTAGAGAATTAGTGGGGAAATCTTTTTAGAGGCTCATCAGAGAATATGACTCACTAAGGTAGATGGAGAATAAAGTAGAGAGCATTTTGTGTGAGCAACTGGTATGTAAATGGATCATTGAAAGGAAAGGAACGTGGGGCTCTGCTGACCTGGATGCCACCGAAAGGTCCCAGCCCTGGCACTCTGCGGGCGCTCTGCCACCAGTAATAATGCCAGCGACACTCGTGAGTCCAGGAGGCCATGCGATCGTGTGCAGCAGCCAAAAGCAAAACCGTTTAAAGTGATTGAGCACATAAATATGGGCATGAACCCCGGTGCAGGGCTGAGGCAGTAATAAGAAGAGATGCAACACCTTTTATTTAAATAACAGATTAAGAAATAACAGATACAGCCATGAGTAAGTGCAAAGCAAGGGGAGAAGTGGTTATTGAATGTCTACAGCACTGTATTTCTTTACGTTTTGTTCTTCACTTTCTCTCTTAGTGCATGCATTTCTTTCAAGCTTGGTGAAATACGTCTAAATAGCTGTTGTCTTAATTAAGGGTATGTTTCAGTCAAAAGGCACTGCCGGGGCACATGCTCCTTCGCCCAGGCCCCACACCGTGCGACAGCTTTACTTCTCAAAACTTCCAGAGGGGCTGCCGCAGGGCGCAGGACGAAGGAGACCAACACCCAGCGCTTCCCGGGGGGCCCGGCTTTGCCATCCTAAATTTATTAAGTGACGGCAACCCTGAGAAATGCCAACTGAGAAAATAATACCGGGGCAGTAATTCGAAAGTAAAACTGTTCTGACAGCTCGTGCCATGGGTCCACTCCAAAGCATGTTAACGAGTGTGTCCCGGGGTTGGTGACACACGGCGTAGGCATGTGGCCAGGCGGAGTCCCGATCAGGCCGTGCACACGTGCCTGTGGATTTGAGAACAACTTCCCAGATAAGAGCAGCTGTGAGGCTTGTGGCGCCCCAGGGCTCTTCACAGGACCAACCCCCCCACCCCCAAGGGAGGTCAGGACGGGGTTCATGGCATCCTCTCCTCTCCTGCTGCCGCCCAGGAGGAGGACTTCATCCGGCCCAGCAGCCGCGAGGAGGCCCAGCAGCTGTGGGAGGCCGAGAGGGCCAAGATGCGGCAGATCCTGGACAAGCAGCAGAAGCAGATGGTGGAGGATTACCAGTGGCTCAGGCAGGAGGAGAAGTCCTTGGTGAGCCAGGGGTGGGGGCCCAGGGGCCTGTCTCTGCAGGAGGAGAAGTCCTTGGTGAGCCAGGGGTGGGGGCCCAGGGAACTGTCTCTGCAGGCGGCGCTACTGAAGAGTTTCAATGACAGGGGGCGGGAGAGATGGCCAAGCTGTGCTATCAACGCCTTCGGCTGCCTCCCCACTCAGCTCCCCGTTTGCCAACTCGAGGGGCTACTCCCCGCGCATTTTCAGGGCTTTCTGTTCCAGAATCCTGAGTCCTTTACTTTGGTTGCCTCCTCTCTAGGACCCCATGGTTTACATGAACGACAAGTCCCCGCTGGTAAGTCGCTGGTCTCTGCCTTGGTGTCAGGACCCCGGATGGGGCGGGGGTGGGGCTTGGGCAAACTTGGGGCCCCAGCTCCAGACCTAGGCCTGCCCCTTTCCTGTTGGGGGCCAGTCTCCTCCCTCCACTCATCTCCGCCAGCCTCCTTCCCCGAGCGCTCCCGTGCTCGGCACCCTGGCAGCCCTTTGGCCAGCATGAGGGCGGCAGCCTCTTGAGAAAGGCACCCCCAACCCCAGTCTCTCTGGGTCAGGAGCGCCCCCTGGGGCTAGGACCTCTAAATCCACAGTTAAGGAGTGGGGAACAGGTCGGAGAGGGTGGGAGCTGCCCCCGGAGCTGCATTTGTGACCTGCCCTCTCCTTCCTTCCTCCCAGACCCCAGAGAAGGAGGCCGGTTACAGTGAGTACCCCACGGACTCTGCACGCGACGCCGGGGTGGGCCCCCTGCTCGTCCGCGGCTGCGGGCTGGCCTGCGAGTTCGCCCGTCTCAAGTGGGACCACGCAGAGAGGCTTAGTTTGGGGAGTTGAGATCTACCCCTTATCTGCCCCCCCACTCCGGCCGCTCACCCTGCCAGGGCCCCTCCCCTCTCTCTGCTGCGGGGTCCGGGCCGCCTCAGCCCGTCTCCCCCCTGCACTTACTTGGAGGAGTTGCTGGTCCTCCCGGCTGCCTCCCACTCAGCTGGGGACGCCTAAGGGAATAAAGCAGCTCCACCTGCCTCTCCCGCTGAGGCTCAGCTTCGGGGCCCTGGGGTGAAGAGGAGGGTGGGCAGGCGTCTCTCCAGAAGCCCCTGCCCAGGCTGGGCCGGGAGGAGCCGGCGGACTCCATTCCTCATCTTCATCCCAGGGGAGGGGCCGCCGACGGGGCGCTGACCGTGACAGCGGCCACGAGACCCCACACAGCCCGGCAGGCGCCACGGGCTGGCGTGACGGGCTGACTTGGCGCAGGCGCTCCCGCGGCGTGGACGGAGGCTCAGGGCGGTTCAGGGACTTAGGCCCGGTGACACCGCGGGGCTTGCGCCCGCCCCCGGCGCACGGTCCCGTCTGGGGTCTCTTGTTGGACATGTGGAAGCCCAGGCCCAGGGAGCACAGGAGAGCAGCCGGGCTCACCTCTCCCGGGGGCGGGGGCTGCGCAGCCACCTGAGGCCCTTCCTTGCGGTCATGGAGGCCAGAGTGTGCCAGGCAGGAAGCGGGCACAGGGAGGAACCCCCTGTCTTCCCTCTACCTCCCCGCAACCGTGACTTGGGCTTTCTCTTTCTGAACAAGGGGCCCCAGCGCTTGTCTCCTGGTAGTGGGGGGGGGCTGGCTGGGGCTCAGCGTGCATGACGGGGAGGGAAGGGCCGGGCTGCTGAGCACCCCCCACTCACTCTGTCTCCCCCTCGCAGCGGAGTTCACGGGGCCCCCCCAGAAGCCACCGAGGCTGGGCGCACAGGTAAGGACCGGCTCTGCCGAAGCTGCTGATAAGCTTGAGCCAGGGACCCCCGAGACTGAGGCCTGGGAACTGCGGGACTCAGAGGTCTACAGAGAATCCATCCGCTGTCAGGTGCTTTGCCGAAGGCCGTGAGCTCACCCACAAAGTCCAGGGGAAGCCCAGTCTCTTGTGACCACAGCCCCGGCGGAAAGAGCACACCTGCGGGTGGGCGAGGGCCCCCGTCCTGGCTCGAGCTTGTCCCCTGCCTCCTGCAGTCGCCTGGTCTACAGCCTGGTTCCCAGCCTGGGCTGCCTGCTAGAGTCACCTGGGGGGCCCGGCTGCCACCTGCCCTTGCCCGGGCGACGCTTCGTTTGCCCTAGAGGGGGCGGCCTGTAGTTTAAGGCCCCGGCACCTGCCGCTGGCTCGAAACGCAGGAGGGAGGAGGCACCGGCTCAGGGCACTACCACTCCAGAGAAGGGTCTCCCGCTGAGCTGCGCTGGCACGGTGGTGCCTGCCCAGAAGGAATGGTAGCGTCCCCTGCCATGCCTCACCCTGGAATCTGCTTCTCCCGCGCCAGTCCATCCAGCCCACGGCTAACCTGGACCGGACGGACGACCTGGTGTACCTCAACGTCATGGAGCTGGTGCGGGCAGTGCTGGAGCTCAAGAACGAGCTCACGCAGCGGCCGCCCGAGGAGTACGTGGGGGTGGTGAAGGTGAGTGCGGGCGGCGGGCACGGGGACCAGAGGCGGCCCCACTGGCCTCGGATGGAAGCAGGAAGGCCCAGCCCTCCCCCACCCCCCATCTGCCCAGGGAGGGCCCCTTTAAATCAAGGCGGGCAAAGGGAATTTCGAGCCAGGTAACCCAGAAGGCAGGTACAGCCCCGGGAGAGTTCTTGGCGAGGGAAACGTGGCTCTTGGAAAGCCAAGAGGTGACAGTCGCAGCCCGTCCCCTCCCCAGAACGTGGGCATGACCCTGCGGAAGCTCATCGGGAGCGTGGACGACCTCCTGCCCTCCCTGCCGCCTCCCTCGCGGACAGAGGTGAGTGTCCTGGCTCCAGACGGGCCGCCAGCCGCTGCCTTCCCTGGAGGCCCCGGAGGCCCCGGCAGCCTCCCCTCTACACTGAGCTTGGCCTCGGCAGCCCCGACGGCTCCAGCCTCCCCTGTGCTCACACCCTCCAGATCGAGGGGACCCAGAAACTGCTCAACAAGGACCTGGCCGAGCTCATCAACAAGATGCGGCTGGCCCAGCAAAACGCAGTGACGTCCCTGAGCGAAGAGTGCAAGCGCCAGATGCTCACGGCCTCCCACGCCCTGGCTGTGGACGCCAAGAACCTGCTGGACGCCGTGGACCAGGCCAAGGTCCTGGCCAACCTGGCGCGCCCACTTGCAGAGTGACTGGGGCGCGTGCCCGCGTCTCGCCCTGCCTGCAGCCTGCGCGCCCTCCCCCGCCCCGGCCCTGCCTCACCTCTGGACACCTGGATCTGCTGGGGGATGGCCCGAGGGGGTCCTGCCCTTGCCACTTTGCACGACCCCGTCTCCCCACCCCGGCCCCAGACTGTGCTGCTCAGGCTGCAGCTGAACGGAGGACCCAGGGTTGTAGAAGCAGTGACAGAGGGCTCACGGGGAGCCATGCGCTGGCCACACCCTCCTCACACCTGCCCGAACTGTTGGGGGTACAGGGGTGCATCCGGTGGCCATGAGCGCTTCATGCATGGACAAGGCAGGCCAATTTGGGGACCAAGCCATTCCTTCTTCTTCCTTGGCCCGTGGAGGCCCCTCCCTTGGGGGCCGGCAGCTGGCGAGGTGCGGGGGGCTGGCTTTCTTGTACAGTGTATATTGGGATTTATTTAATGTGACCGTCTGGGCTGACAGTGGGTGCCCCGGAGCCTGGGACAGTCCAGAGCAAGCTGTGGGAGGCCGGGCCCAGCACCCCCATTGTCAGCAGGACGTGGGTCGGGAGAAGGGGAGAGGCGAGGCCCCAATGCCCCCCGGACAGCCATTCCCCCAACTCGTCCCTCCTCCCTCCCTCCTCCCCTTTTCTTACTCCTTCTGGCCCTTCCCCCACCCGCCTCATCCACCAAAGTGTCTCTAGAGAACACTTTCACCTTTCTACATGACTATAGATCAGTAAAATGGAGTCATTTGCTTTATGGTTTGTTCTGATCTCCTCTTTTTTGGGGGGGACCCTGGCCTGGAGCCACTGCCCTTGGAAGAAACCAACTGGCTCATGGCAGGGGCAGGGGAGGGGCCGGTGCCGGCCTCAGCACCAGGCCGTGCCTCTGCCCTTGACCGAAGGCAGACCCAGAGGGCCCCAGGGCAGCCCCTCTGTGGCCAGGACAGGCGGCCCTGTCCCCGGCTGGCGTCCAGCGACCAGGGCGGCAGAGGGCTCAGTGGCCTGGCACACGAAGGCGGGTCCACGGCTGAAGGAGCGGCCGCTTGGCATATAGATCATCTCTTTACTGACATGCAGGATGGACGGGGCACGTGACCCACACGCAGGACGCGGCGCACCAGGGCCCGCCTGGGAGGGGAGGCGGGGGCGTCGGGCTGCGTTCACCGGGACAGGGAAGGGCCGGAAGCCTAAAAGGGCCACTGAGTGAGGCTCTTTGGAGAGAACTGAGGAGCTGAGGTGGGGCCAGGCTACCCCCAAGCCAGTGGATTTCCCCTGAGTCTGTCGGGAGAGGCCGGTGGGGACTCAGAAGGAGCACACCCCGAGGGCCAAAGGGAAACTGGGAGCTTGCCCTGCTCCGCCTCCGGCCAGGACCCCCACGCTGGCCCCGGCGCCCGAGTCAGTTAGCAGCAGCGGGCCTGCGGCTTCTCCAGGCTCCTGGGCAGCTCCAGTCCCGGTGGAGAGCAGCCGCGAGGGCCCCGGCCGCCCGCGAGGGGGGAGGGTCCTGCAGCTTTTGCACGGGCACAGCAGTCGAGTCCGGAGTGACGTGCTCTCCTCGGCCCCCGCGAGCCAGCGCGCCCAGTGTGGCCCCCCCAGGGCTGGAGCCGGGAGCGGGAATAATAAAGCCTCGAGAGGCGGCCAGGAAGGAGCCCAGCAGAACCCTCAGCTCCCAGGCGGGTGCTGATGGAGGAGCCCGGGACGGGCCCTGGGCGGGGAGGGCGCCGCGAGCCGGAGCCTGAGCCGGGTGCCCAGTGTCCCTGCTGTGCCATGTGCTAGAGAGGGCGTCCCTCGGGCAGGGCCCTGGCGCTGCCAGCCTCCGGCGCGGCTGGTGCTGAGGCGTCTTCAGCAGGCTGAGCGCTGGGCTGCAGGCGAGGGGCACCCGGGGACCCGAAAGTGTGTCCTGTGGATGGGATGGCCCAGCTACCGGCACCCACCCGCTGTCACCCCCCCAGAGGGGCTGCCCTGCCTTCCCACCCCACCGGAGGCCTCGCCCGCACCGCCTCTGCAAAAGCCTGTCCCGTTTACTGTAACACCCGCAGCTCAGGCTGCGCCCTTCCCTGGCGGACCCCAGACTCCCCTCCCGACCTCCTCCCACAGCCCCACCCCGCGCTGCGGCAGCTTCCTGCTGCTCCGAATCCCAGACGCTGTCCACAGCCCTCCCACCCCACCCTCACCCACCCTCACCCACCCTCACCCACCCTCACCCCCCCCCCACCCCCGTGGCTCCCTCTCCCACCTTCCCTGCCTTTGAGAGCTGCTGTTTGTTCCCCAGCGCCCGGCCCCGTCCACAGCCCCGCTTCGCCTGTCACTCAGGCCTGCACCCCTCACTCCAGAGACTCTCGTCACCAGCTGAGGGACCCGCTTCTCTTCGCCCCCAAAAGGGGCCCTGCCCCCTGCGGTCCTGGAGTGCACGGCGCTGTCACGGCGGCTCTCCGGCGGGGCCACCGCGGGGCTTCCACAGAGGCGGTCGAGGGGGCCATGAGGGGGGGCGTGAGGTCAGATCATTCCGGCCAGGAAGGGTGGGAGGAAAAGCCCGACGGTCCCCAGGACGCAGACGATGATGAACAGCCAGAGGAAGATCCTGTCGATGACCATGGCCACGTACTTCCAGTCTTCCCTCACCTGTTTGGGGAAGGGCGCCGGTCACAGGGCCTGGAGAGGGAAGGGTCCCCACCACGCACGGGCCCTGCAGCGTGGCCCCCACTCGGGAAGCTAGAGCAGGTGGGGGAGGGGCAGAGGGGAAAGTCTGCAGACTCAGCCCCTCCAAGCTCCTGCCCCTGCCCGCCACTCCCGCACAGCCTGGGCCTCTCTGCAGGCTTGGGGTACGGAGACTGGAGGGACGTAAGAAGGTTCTAGAACCACCACCCCAGTCTTTAAAAAAATGGTGAAGACTTTTCTACCCCATGTTTCCTCTCACCTCCTCACCCACCCACCTGCAGGAGACGGAGATGGGAGGTAGGCAAAGGTAGATCAGGAGGCCCAGGGAAGTGGGGGGAGGCAGAGAGGGGTCCTTGTGAAACTGGGGCTCACAGCCTGGGCTGGCAGGTCTGGCTCTGAGGTAGGTCCCCTCAGAGGTTCTTACCTCTCCCCGGGGCCAGCCAGTGATAACCTGTGTCCTCTCACCCTTCCCTAGGCTGGTGAGAACTCTATGCTCCTGGCCAGTGACCCGCCCGCCCAACAGTGCTGGCCACGGTGGGGGTCAGGGAGGGCCACCCACCTGGCACAGCCAAGTCGCCTCGGGGTGTGTGAGTGGACAGTGAAGCTCAAGAGACTCCAGAGCCACGAACAAGGAGGAGGAGGAGACCCCTCAGGACCAAGAAGGAAGGCTGAGGGCATGGTAGCCTAGTGGATTCCGTGGATTCCATGGCCCTGGAGCCAGGGCCTCGCCTCCCCCACACCACTAGGGGGAGGGCGACCCACAGTGGCTCGGGAATGAACCCCTCACCAGCTGGTTCTGTTCCCAGCTCAGCTTAGCCGGGCACTGGCGACTGCCATTCCATCACCCGCCAATCAGTGTCTTCAATTGCCAAATCCATCTCCTACCCCAGGGCAGGAGCGAGGGAGGGGGCCCCACAGAGGAGACTGGGTTGGCCAACCTGACACCCAGGTGGAGATGGTTCCTGCCAGGCTGCAGGGGCTCCCAGGGGCCCCTCCCCAGCCCCAGCTCACCGAAGAGTCAGCATCCTCAGACCGCAGGTGATCGGCAATGTAATGCACGCCTTCCAGGGCCTTCTGGATGTGGGGTGAGAGCAGCACCCCACTCTCCTGCAACGGGGCCTCCTCCTGGGGGCCCGAGGCCCCTCGGTGCAGCCCCTCGTGGCTGTAAAGGACACCGGTGGAGCGGGGAGAGCCACCCGCACGCACCCACCCATCCGCTTCCTCCTCTTCCCGCCCCTGCTCCTCCGCATCCACGCAGGTCTCCAGCCAGCGACAGGAGGGGCTGAGCTTCAGGTCTGGGGGGTCCAGGAGCTCCAGGGGTGGCGGGGGGCGGCTCATCAGCAGCCAGCGGGGCACACGGCTCAGAAAGGCCGCCCGCACCCAGCGGGGCATGCTGTGGGTGCCGGGGGAGCGGTGGTGGACGTTGAGCACGAAGACCGTGATGACGATGGACAGCGTGACGAAGATCATGGTGAAGAGCAGGTACTCGCCGATGAGCGGGATGACCAGCGAGGTGGACGGGATGATCTCGGTGATGAGCAGCAGGAAGACGGTGAGCGAGAGCAGCACGGAGATGCAGAGCGTGATCTTCTCGCCGCAGTCGGAGGGCAGGTAGAAGACCAGCACGGTGAGGCAGGAGATGAGCAGGCAGGGCACGATGAGGTTGATGGTGTAGAAGAGCGGCAGGCGCCGGATGACGAAGTAGTAGGTGACGTCGGGGTACACCTCCACGCAGCAGTTGTACTTCTTGGAGTTGTAGGTGCCCGTGGCATTGACGATGGCCCACTCGCCGCTCTCCCAGTAGTCCCTCAGGTCCACCGTCTGCTCCATCTGCTCCAGGTCGATCTTGGCCTTGTCGTAGGTCCAGGAGCCGAACTTCATCTTGCAGTTCTGCTGGTCGAAGGGGAAGAAGGTGACATCGATGCTGCAGGAGCTCTTGTAGATGGCGGGCGGCGTCCAGCGCACGGTGCCGGAGGACAAGAGGTGCGCCTTGGTCATGTGGGTCACCGCAAACTCCCCATCTGCGCTGGGGAGGAGAGAGCAGCTGGGGGGCCGGGCTGCCCCAGGCAACCGGCAGTCGGGGACCCCAATCACACAGCCAGATGTGACCAAGTTGTTTGGTTGCAAGCGAGTGGGCGGGACTGTCCCTGGCACAGACGTTTATGGCCACCCACGTCCTCTTTCAAACTCCATCGTTTTAGCTACAAAAGCAGCAACTTGTGGAAAATAGGAAAATACCAAGAATGTAAACTTACCGCCTTGTAGACATCACCCAGCGCTGGTTATTATTTCGAGCAGATATATACCATTTTTACTATTTGTGTTGCAGGAATACGTCGTTCCATGGCCCATCTGTATTCACTTAACATTAAATGTTGATTATATTTCCCCCCCAGCAGCTGAGGACACCCTGCTGGTGAAGGAAGGATTTCTGAGCAGCCTGACCACCCAGCGCCTCTCTGGGGGCCTCGCAAAGTGACCACAAGCCTAACCTGGAGGGACCAGGAGAAATGAATGGCAGCTCTCGGCCCCAACGTCCACAGCACAAGGAGGCGGTCTGGCAGCAGCACAATGAGGGTGATGGGAAGGCTCCCCAAGGCCTCAGGGCCGGGGGACTCCCTTCTGACTGGACTGAGCAGGTCACCATGCAAGCTGCCCTTTGCGCCAGATGTTGAGTGATAGGAGGTCTGGCGGAGAGATTAGGGTGGAGGGCAGCCCACAGAGCGTCCCCCAGCACAAGGGACAGAGGAAGGGAAAGTCACAACTAACAGGGGTGCTGGGCTGGGGCAGAGTGGAGCAGGGACGAAGGGGGCAGGGGGAGGTGAGGTGCATGGTCCAGGGGCTGGGCGTGGTCCACACGGGCTCTGGGAGCACTGGAGCGGGGGCCCCGGCAGGCGAGGCTTCCTGCGAGTCAGAGCCGGATTCCCTCCAGGAGGTGGTGCAGGGGGCTCCCCCAACTTGCCTCTAAGAAGCAGCCCTCCCCTCCAGCTCCCACGCCCGCCCTATGCGCGGGAGGAGGAGCACACCTGGAGATGTCTGTCTTTCCCACGGAGCAGCTCCGGCGGAGAGACGGGCAGGTTGGAAAGGTGGATTTCAAAAGGTAACAAAAGGATCAGGGCAACATTTAAATCTTTTTAAAGATGTGTTTTTGTCACCTCACGTAATCACCACGAGATGGCGCGTGCACCCCATTTTGAGGAAAGAGGTGCAGATTCTGGGATCTTCCCGCTGGCCTGGGGTGGGCGAGGGTGTGGGGGAAGACCCTTCTCTTTAAAACATGGAAGGCTGCGTGATGTCACGTCATCCCCGGGCGGGGGCCATGCTTAACCCCTGTGTCCTTCCCGTTTCCGCAGATGTGCTGCCGAGGGACACACGCCCCCCCCAACCACCCACCCCCCCCTCCCCCCCGCCCCGGGAGGACGGGGCCCTGCTGGCGAAGCCTCACCAGCGATCCTAAAACTCTGGTGCTAAGCTTTGCCCCAGACCTCTGCCTGCTCACAGCAGCAGAAACTAGAAGGGTCTCGGGAGTGGCTCCAGGGCGAGACAACAGGTGGGGACGCAGGGAGCAGCACCCAGGCTGGAGGCCAGGGACCCTGCAGGCACCGCTGATCGCAGGCGCCCGAGGGCATCCTAGCGGGTCCCCCGGGGCCGTCTGGAGACATCAAAGCTTCCCTTTTCATTTACTGTTGAAAAATAACTTTTCCAAATTTAGGCCAAATGAGTTGGGAAATGTTGTTGTTGTTGTTGCTTTTTGTTGTTGTTTTTTTGCTGCAGAACTTCGAACAATTAAAAAGCTATTGTGTCCTGACATTTTCCAAGGACCTGGGTGTGCAGGACATACGACATCACCCCAATCACCTGTCACACCCTCACCGCCCCAAGGACTGGCGCCCGACAGGACCACTTTAAAAATGTCCATTTGCAAACATCATGCCAAACTGCTTTTAATTTTATTTTATTTTTTTTAAAATGATATTCTTTTTTTTTTTTTTTAAGATTTATTTATTTATACAAGCACTGGGTACAGTCAGAAGCGTGGGAGGTTGAGAGAATTCACCAGAGCCAGAGCGGGGAGCAGAGCAGGCAGAAGGACCGAAGGACACTGCTGAGGGGAGCAGCGGGCGGCAGGAGAGGTCTGCGCGCCATGTGGGACCCTCCTCCAGTGGCCGGGGAGCAGCCGGGGATCGAACCGGCGCTGCAGAGGCTGCGGCCAACTTCGCAACCCTGCACTCAACCGCTGCGCCACCGGGGAGGCCCTGCTTTTAATTTTAAATTTTTGTCTCCCAAGTGAAATTATTTGATGGCAAACACACAAAGCACGGGTCTCTGTTTCTTCTAGTAACGAAACCCCCAACTGCGGGGCGAGCGGAGGGTCCCTCGGGGCTCCCATTGGACTCCCCTGCCTCGTACTCTGAGTCTTGTGCTGAAAGACTGTCCTTTGGGGTCTTGATCACAAGGCAACCATAAAGAATGTCATCTTTTAAAATACCCACACCAACCTCCCTGGTGGCACAAGGGACACAACCTGCAAAGCTATCAGCAGCCTCTGCAGCACAAGTTCGATCCCCAGCCAGGGAGCTACCCACATGGCGCGGCAGACCTCTCCTGTCTCGTCCGCTGCTCCCCTCAGCAGTGTATTTCAGTCAGTCTGCCTGTTCTGTTCCCCACTCTGTCTCTGGTGAGTCCTCTCACCCCCCACATCTCTGGCCTGTACCCCAGTTCTTGTATGCATAAGTAAATAAATCTTTAAAAAAAAAAAAATATATCCACACCACGGGCGCCAGCCTCCACGTGGGTGTCACCCAGATGCTCCTCGCGCCTTCTAGCCAGCCTGCATCCTCAAACTCAGACCCTGCACCACGCACATTTCTTAAACAATACTGCATTGGCAAATCTGTGTCTGCACAGCGCCTGGCACCGGCACGTCGTAGGTGCTGGATACACGCAGCCATGTGAGTGAAGAGCGATATGAAAGAAATAAAGAATCCAGAGAAAAGGTGGTGATGGGTATTGGTATCGCTGGGAGCGACAGGGAGGCGATGATGCTGAAACCAAGGAGGGCCACCTCCCGAGGGGTATCCCAGGAGCCTCCCTTTACCCCGCCCCCCAACTTCCCTCCCCTAGCCCCGCAGGAGCTCCTCCCAGGGCCGTCGGGACCCCAGCCTCCTCCTACTTGTTGTAGAGGACAATGTCGGGGATCCAGATCATCTCCGAGGGGACCCGCAGGGATGTGATGTTCCCGAAATCGGCGGGGTTCCAGCGCAGCTTGTAGTCATCCCACTCCTGGGGTGGGGAGAGGTCACGGGACCTGCACTGCCACATCCAGGCCTGCCCCACCCCCAGCTCCACAGGCTAGAAAGGGCAGGATGCCCAGACAGGGCTCGGAGCTGGGGCCCAGGCGTGCAGCCTGACACAGCAGCCTAATGCGCCCCATCGCTTGCCTTCCGCGTCCAGGGCACAAGTGGGCCACAGGCCCCTCTGCGCCCTGCTGGTGCTCACCCCGCCACTCCCTGGCTGGGCCGCCGCCTGCCACCTCACTCACTTGCGGGGGGCGCGGGGCGTGGGGGGGGCTCACCTGCTTTAGCCAGACGTTGATGGTCATCATCTGGTTCTTCTCATCCTGGACAGCAGCGGGGCGAGAGCAACAACAGTTAGAGACCCAACCAGTCCCGGTAAGCAGGTGGCGTGGGATGAGCCCGGCCCCACTCGGCAGAAGCTCTCCCGTGGCACCCCCAAACCAGCTCATCCAACCCCCCTCCTGAGAGTCTTCGGGATCACACAGGCCCCGTGGGTCCTCTGGACTTATGCCAGGTGGAGCGAGCGGGCGTCTGGGAACCCCACTGCGGACCAGCAGACCCGACCCCCGCGGGGAGGGCCCTGGGGTGAGGCGGGCTCCAGGGGTGAGGTGGGAAGGGCAGGCTGCAGCGGGGTGCCGAGGGGCCCCTGGGGAGACTCGCGCACCACGTCGATGAGCTGGGCGATGGACAGCCCGAAGCGCACGATCACCACGTCGGAGGTGCGGGGCACCGGCCGTGCCAAGCGGTTGTAGCCGCCGAACAGGTGCCTGAAGAGCCGGTCCTCGGCCTGGACGCGCGGGCCGCGCTGCGCGGGCGCTGGGGGCACAGGGGTGGGCGTCGGGGGGCCGCAGTGGGGCGGTGGCTCCTTCTCAGACCCCCAACCCACTCCACGTCCCAGCCTCTCTCCTCATCTGCAAAGGGGGGCGCTCCCCAGAACCTGCGTCAAAACGCTCTAGAGAATTAAGCACGCGCGGGGCGGCTGCACCGAGCATCGGGGTGCGGTCGGCGCCCCAAGCACCAGGCCCTGGCTGCAGGGAGACGGCCAGGCAGGGCATGGGGAGGGTCGCGGCACCGGGCCGAGACTGCCTGGAACTGAGGCCCCCCCAGGGGGGCAGGACAGCAATATGGAGGAGCTGTCCGGCAGTGGGGGGCGCCGGGACCCCGCTGAGAGAGAGGCAGGCCCCTGACTGGCTGCTTAGTGCCCTTCACCCCCATCTGCTTGACGATGAAGCACAAACTGTGGTTCATGACACTTCAGCAGCTCCCCTATTTTTTCTCAGACCACAAGTTTGGGGCTCCTATCTCCAGCCACGGTTCCCCAAGGCCTGAGGGAGTCGCTCCTGCCTCTTCTCCGTGTTTTGCACGCTCTGCCTCCTGGGCTTCTGCTGCGCGCAGACTGGCAAGTTCTGCTCCAGGAGCCAGAGGCGCGCAGCAGCAGGGTGCGGGGTACCCTCAGGCCCCAGGGCCGGTCGGACTTCGGGGGCACCATCCTTGCTAGCCCTGCGATGGTCTCGGCATTACTGATCTTGCAGATGAGGCGCTCTGCTCTTGGGAGGCTCGAGGTGACCCCCCGCCTTGTCAGAGCTGTGAGCGCCTGCTGTGAGCTCCCCAGGCCCCTGCAGCTCTGGCTGTCGTCCGAGCCCCCCTGCGCAAGTTTCCTCCACGCGGCCTGTGAGCACACAGGGATGACCCGGCGGCCTGTGGTTGCGCCCACTCACCTGCTGGAATCAGAAGGAGCCACCACAGCCCGAGCTGTGCCAAGGGCGGGCGCGCACGGCGCATGGGGCCCATGGCTGCAGAGGGGGTGCCGAGCTGCCCAGGCCACGAAGGGGGCGGCCGGGCCTTTGCTGCGTCCCAGCACGGCCTCCAGGGGCGTCCTGGAGCTCCTGCTGGCTCCTGCCGGGCTCCTCTCACCTCCCGAACCTGAGCAAGACCAGGAAAGCGTGGCAGGGTCATGCCAAAGGTCATGTCAAAGGTACAAAAGGGCCCCCCACGAGCCGAGGGCTGTAGGGTTCTCCCTGACTTAATTGAGTACTCGGGCTTCTCCTCTGGGACCATGCAGCTGCCCCTGTAACCCACGCCCGACCCGCCCCAGAGGAGAGCCGGTGAGACCCAGGTCCCCAGAGCCCGGTCTCGGTGTTGCCTCTGTAACACGGGGACAGACGCGCTAACACAGGGAGGGGCGATGAGAGAACAGAGACACGACCCAGGAGGCCTTGGGTCCCCGCCCTCTGCTCACCAACAGGTGGGGGCAAGAGAAGTGGGTGAGCGGGCGCGTGGAGTGAGCTAGGTGAGCCCTTGAGAGAGATGAGTTAAGTTGAGTGACTTGAGTTGAGGATCTGAGCGAGTTGTTGGGTGAGATGAGCGGAATTGAGATCCTGGCGTTGCCTGCAGAGGCTGACTTTGCGGGAAAGCCAGAGGGAGGGACTGCAGCGCTGAGGACTGTCTGCCCAGCTCTACACCCGGCTACCGCAGACTCAGTTCTCATGGTGTCGTAGCAAACATAAGCCCAGATCTGCTGCAGAGCAAGCGCAAGGACCAGGGGCCCCTACAAAGTCTCCCATTGACGTCACCGGGTCGGGCTTCACTTTGTACTTTATTTATTTTTTTTTTTTTTTAGAGGCATGTTTTTATTTATTTATTTGTTTGTTTGCTTGTTTATACAAGCACTGGATACAGTCAGAAGCGCGGGAGGGTGAGAGAATTCACCAGAGCCAGAGCGGGGAGCAGAGCAGGCAGACTGACAAAGTACACTGCTGAGGGGAGCAGCGGGCGGCAGGAGAGGTCTGCGCGCCATGTGGGACCCTCCTCCGGTGGCCGGGGAGCAGCCGGGGATCGAACTGGCGCAGCAGAGGCCGCGGGCAGCTTCGCAACCCAGCGCTCAACCGCTGCGCCACCGCCACCGGGGAGGCCTTCACTTTGTACTTTAGATGCTCCCCGGGCCCCTGCAGCTCCCGCTGCAAAGCCGAGCTCCCAGCTCCTGTCTCTCCCATCCCCCACTTTGCAAGGTGTAGGACTCCCTGGCCCCACCCCCCTACTTTATCTGGGGATGTCGGTGACTCTAGTAAAGGTGACACACCCCACCCCACTATGACCACCACCTAGAAGCTTTGCTTGCTTGTTAACGTGGAGGGGAGTTACAGGAGCCAGTTGCTGATCTCAGCCACCTCGTAAGCGTGGAGGCTCCTGCTTTCTTTTTGGTTGGCTGTGAGAAAACAGAGCAGGATGGCGCAAACAGGGCAGGGCAAACGCAAGGAAGAGGACTCCAGGGTTCCCTTTGAGGTTAACGCCTAAAAGATCTTCCTAAGAACAACTCGCATTTGCGTATTTTAAAATTTATAAGAAAGTTTTGTACATTTAACCTCATTTGGGTCTCATAGTATATGTAAATTAAAAATAATAGTACTGTCCAGAGAAGTGGACTGATTTGCCCAAGGCCCCAGAGTTAAACAGCCATAAACCTGGAATTCACATTCAGGTCTTCAGCATCTCAAGTACAAAGTGAAGCCCCACCCCGTGCCCGCCTGTCAGGGGGAGATTTTGTACGAGTACTTCGCCCGGTCCCTGCGTTTGCTCTACAACACATCCAGGCTTATGTTTGTAAGTCACTATGAGAACTGAGGTCTGTGGTAGATGGGTGGTGAGAAGAGAGGTGCTGAACCCCAAAATCAGGCTCACCTGGGTCCAAGATTCTAGAAGCATCTTCTATGCACAGCTTCACCCCCTCCTTCCAAGCAACATCACAACCATAAATCCCAAGGCTTCGATCTGTTTTTACCTTTTAACCAATGGCACCATATTAAAGAAAGAATTTTTTCCTGAGTTTGTTAAAATAGGGGGAAAGGAAGCAGAAACGCAGGCCAGCTGAAGTTGCATCATGAAAATATGAGCGAGAGAGAGAGAGAGAGAGAGAGATGTCCTGGGCTCTGGGAGAATGTGCAAATGAGATTTCATTGACTCTGGAGGACATATTCCTGCAAGATGCCTCAAATTTGCATCCCTTGTAATTAGTCCACTGTGATAATTTCATTCATTCGTTACTGGAAACCAGAGGAGAAATTGTTCCAGGTAATTAACAGTAATTAGAGGAACAGTCCACCTCTCCGTAGCAAGAGATCACAAGGAAAGAGCCGTGGACCTTCAGATCCTCTAAATGACAGTTTTGGGGGAGGGGCTGGCTGTGGGGTGAGTCCCATCTGTAAAGTGAGTCCGGGTGAATGAGGTGCACAGAGCAACCTCCACAGAAAACACTGCATATGACTGCGGATGTGAATGTGCTCAGACGCCAGCACCCCGCTGAGCTGGGGCTGCTGCTGATGCACGTGGGGTCCAGACGGTCCCAACCCCCACCCAACTCACCCAGCCTCTTTCAACCACCCCCTAAGCCCCGGTCCCATTGAACTCAGCGTAATTTAGGGCGGCTTCTTTGTCCATCTTCCTGCTGCCGCTGCCTTTCAACTTCTCACCCATCAGACCACCTTTTATTCTTTCCATGAACATCACCATCTCCAGAAAGCCTACCTTCATGCCCCCCAGCCCCTCTCCCGCCATCCAGCAGTGCCCCCAATCACGGGGAGTTCCAGCTCTCCCAAAGAAAGTTCCATCAATACCCAAAGAAAGTTCCTAAATTCTAGGAAATGATACTTTCTTCTTCCAAACAGGCTCATTAGGGATGCTTAAGGGGGAGAGCATAGCTCCGGCTCTCATATCCACACTGCTCAATAACTGATCAATCACAGAAGCTTAACAGCTCAAGGTTGGGTGGAATCTTAAAGGTCATCTGGATTACCGCCCGCTGATATAGGAATCCCCCACCATCCCAGCCTCAGAAAAGCCCCAGCAATGAACTTGCCAGCTTCCAAATCACTGAATACCACTGATCCTGTGAGTCTTTATTAAAGCATGTGGCATATTTGCTGATGAGTAAACAAAAGGCAAAGGAAGGAACGTTGTGCACAGAAGCAGATTCCATTCAGCACAGCCACCAACTCCTGGGATGCTGCTCCCCGCCAGCAGGAGGGGTGGGCGCTGCCCAGCCCTGGCAGGGACAGCCACAGGGCTCAAATTTTTCTAGAAGCAGGCAGCCTCCAACATTCTGTACCCAGCCTCACCCCCACAACATCCCCATCCTACAATGTCTCCACAAGCTTCGAGGGCACTTTTCTTACCTGTGGCCGTGCCGGATGGTCATCCAGAGGACACCGAGGACCAGCCCGGCTTGAAAAGCCTGGGCAGCTGACAAACGCCCGCCCCAAATGGAGAGGCAGGTGAGCCTGGGCTTGGTCATGTCATTTCATGGCCGAACAGATGCTGGGGCAGACACAGCGTGGCGATGAGGGACAACACTCCCCACCCCAGAGCCAGGCTGCTGCCCAGGGCGGGCTGGCTAAGTTCTGCAGGCAGGGCGGTCAGCCCGGGGCTGCCCTGCTCGGGAGCCAGGCGGTGGTGGTGGTGTGCCGAGGGGGCGTCCTGGGAGCCAGCCCCGGGTGTGCAGGGCAGAGCAAGGCTGGTCATAGGCTGACCGCTGCCTGTGCCCGCGAGCACACAGACCCGGCTCTCCTCTCTCTCTCTCTCTCTCTCTCTCACACACACACACACACACACACACACACACACACAGGAGGAGGAGCCTGTGACTATTCAGCCTGCCGTGTCCAGTGGCGACAGTCAGCCAATTCACTGCCCCTCCATCCAGCTTCACTCTGCCCTAAAGTACCCCCTGCTCTGGGGTCACTGCCTCAGCCCCCCAACCTCAGCCACAGAGGGGGACCCTCCTGAGTCCCGGGTCTGTCTCTTGAGAGAGCAGCTTGGTTTTGAGTGAAAGAGGATGGAGGATGGAGCCAACGGTCAGCCAGCTGCAGTCTCGCCCGTCCCTCTTCCCAGACGAACCCCAGATCCCCAGTTAGCTTCATGCCGGGCCACTGGGTCGCTGATGCTGTCACCTGGCGTGGCTGAGCTTGCCTGTCACCCTTCCAGCCTTGACCTGGCCTCCAGTCCCTAGAGAAGCAAGGGCGTCCCCCGAACCACAAACCCCGGCCTCCTCCGGGCTGACATCTGCTCAGGCGCCCTGCTCCTCCTCGGGTGTGGGGAGCTGGGCCCCAGGATCCGGAGGGTGTCCCCACCTACTACACCCCATCTACTGGGGTGTCCCCCAGGCTTTTGCACAGCTTCAGCTCCCTCTCCCACACGTGCTCTCCCCCATGTGCTCTCCCCCCATCTCCCATCGTCAGGCCCCCTGGGGCTGCCGCAGCCCCTGGCTCCCGGCCATCTCAGCCCTTACTCTGCGAAAAGCCAAGGGCCCCCCACGAGACAGGCAGACTCCGCTTCTGGCTCTGCTCCCTGAAAGCTGTGTGGCCCGGGGCGGATCTCTCTGGCTATCTGTGCCTCAGTTTCCTCTCACGTGAAAGGAGGCTGTGACGACGGGTTCCCACGGCGTGGCCTGTCACGAGGAGTCAATGAGTTGACATAAGGAACGGGCTTGGGTGAGCAGAGTGACCGGGGAATGTGTGTGCGAGGATCACGTGTGCGCCTCGCCTGAGGGAATGTGCACGTGCCTGCGCGTGTTTGATTGCTCGTGTTGTGTTTTGAGAAAGTTAAAGACAGATTGTGCAAAGAAATCACTGTTCCACTGTTTGACCTTCGTGCTGCTGTGTGCTGTGTGCAGAGGCTCCTACACACCCCCCCACGGACAGAGAAGTAGATACACGTGCGTGTGTGTTAAAACTAGGCAAGTACTACATGTATGTGCTTTCCAGCAAGCAAGCCTGAGGGAGGAAGAAGGAGAAGAGAAA